GTAATCATTGTCTAAGCGAGAGAATGGGCTATCTCGGCATCGTTCGTGTAGGACTATGAAGGCCTATTCATGCAAGTGACCTTGACGATCCAGACACTTATAGCCAACGATTTAATTTACAGTACCGTGATAAAAAAATTGCTGGTTCTGTTACGAATACTAGTAACTCTTTTCATGATGTTGTTCACCCGACCTTCAATGTATAAACGAGACACTCGGCATTGGCCTACTTGGTTAGATCCTCTGGATTGCAGAAACTTTTAAGAAATTGGGATGCTCTTTTGCTTCAGTGGATATTATAGATTGTGAGGTGCAAGAAAGGCGAATACGAGGTGCTGGGGGCGATATCAGCCATAATTATCCCTTCTTCCGCGAGAGTGTAGACTCGATCCTATCGGCTATCGCATTAAAGAAACAGGCGAAACATTGACCTACCTACGCCTACTGTGGATAGAGACGAGGGGCTATGTGTACTGAGCTTTGACGGGTTAGCTCGTCTAAAACAAGGAGGTGGAGCTTGTAGCGCTGTCTTATAAGGTTTGCCTAAGTGGTTAATAGTACACGCCGCCTCAAAATATCTCCAGGCATCCACGCTAAATGAAGCCGTGTACGAAGGCACGTTGCTGGGATTCGATTTGCTAGAGCCTTTGGAACGACAGCGGCTAATCATCTGTGGCGACTCCAATCTGGTTGTCCGAAAGATGCGCGTAGAAATTGAGTACAAGGATCCAGGACTGTCTCCGTTGCGAGCAAGAGTTCTGAGCAAGCTTTGATCGTGGACTTCTGTCGTGATGCTCCACTTCAAGCGCGATTAGAAATAGAATGCGGACCAGCTGGCTAGTGATGCATTACACAGCCAAGGAAGGGTCGAGTCTGTATTGAGGGAAGAGTGACCAGGGTTGGAAGTGATCAACCGACTGCCACAGATGTTAGTCCCTAAAGACGAGGATCTGACGATTAGATTGTGCGGAGAACCGACCAAAGCTACCTATCAAAATATTTGTAGAAACGATGCAAGGAAAAATTAGACAGCAGCTGCGAGTGTACAGTATTAGGAAAGCTAAGAGGAAAAGATATCGATAATGTATCTGAAGGCATATGTAAGAGGAGACCTAGGGGGGCTAATCGGCAGAATCGGCATATTCATGCAACAAAATAGCCAGAGATTATGAAGTCAGCGAATTACTGATATACTGTCCTATCCACAAGACCGACGAGAAATGACTGCCCGACTAGTAATCCCCAAATTTTTTCAGACTGACATGTTACATCACTACCACGATAGCCTGGAGGGCGGTCACCAAGGAGTCGGTCGCACCTACTATAAGATTTGCTGGTATTGCCTTTGGAGAGACTTGTTTCGAAGTGTACAGCGGTATGTGCGATTATGTGTGGATTGCGAGACGAAAAAAGGGAACCCTGAATTTTAAAAGTCAACCCCAGGCAACGTCGAGGCGACAAACTCTTTCCAAGTCATAGCAATGAACCATATCCCCTTGTTGCCCAAGTCACATAAGGGAAACACCGATTGATTGCTTTGGGTCGACTTATTCACAGAGTTTGTGATGACCAAGGCAAGTGCTTTGACAAATGATCGGAAGGTATCCGAAGGGTATTAAGAATGTGTATTATGGTGTTTTTGGGTCTGCGAGATGGTCCGCCATGACCGGGAACCCGGTTTCATGTTGGACTTCTTTTAAGCGTTCAATAGTAGGGTGGGTTAGCGTCAACGGAAAAAGATGGCTTACCTACCCCACGCGAACGGAACCTCGGGAAGAACAGTTTAAACCCTGACAAGGGTCTATTAAGAGGTATGTCTCAGACGTTGCGAAGCGTGATTGGGACGAATACGCAGAACAGCTGACGTCCACACTGATTACTGCACACTATAGGGTTCAAAAAGAGACACCGTTCTATTTGTCCCACGGGTGGGAGGCTAGACCCAATCTGGAAGCAACGTGCCAGTGGTGAACACCAGATGCAAAGAGTCCGGAGCTCGAAGATGGACGTATCACATCCGGAGTTACTACCAGCGTGCAAGAAACAGGTGAACGATCATTTGCGGTCGGCCTGTCTAGCGTGGGTGCTAAATCATGCAGGACAAGTTGTCTGGCACAATATTCGGTCAGGCAGGTAAGTGTGTATCTACCTAGATCACGTGAAGTAAGGGTAAACAAAAAAATTGGTCCACCTCTGGCATGGTCCGTTCTTAAATTTTGGAGTTATTCGGTGAAAATGCTGCGCGGTTGGAGGTAAGCGATACGAAGTACAGGTTATTCTCGATCTTTCACATCTTAAAGCTGAAAAGTGTGAAGGAGTACTCTGATTTCCCTGGTGACCGTTTGACTGTGGAAGAGGCAGACCGGATCGACTTTGAATATTTCTTGCTGCCGGACGATAGATGGTCGCGCGAGCTGGACGAAGACGAATACGAAGTGGAAGGGAATTTAGAAAGCCGTGTCAGCAAGAAGACGCGTTATGGTCGGTAATGGCGCAAGTTCTCAATTTATTGGAAAGGTCATGCGGACCCCTTATAGGTCGACGAAGTGAATTAAAATTATGGAACTTTAATATGAGATTTTAAACGCAACGTGACAAATTATAACTATTTTCAGGCAATGCAAGAATACAAGGACCAGTCGTGGGGAAGAAACCCAGTCGCTTCTTGGTCGGTGTGTTCGCCTGTGGATCGGTCATGACCTCCGTGAGCGACCCAAAGTTTTAAAACTAACATACTTTATGTACAAGTCGACCATGAATCTTGGGAGTGACTAAGTATATCCTAAGGTATACCGTGATTTATCTAGATTCGGCCACAACTTTTCATAAAATTAAGGCAGTGCAACGCTGGCGGACAAAGGAAAGGATACTGGAGAGTGGATAATGATCAACGAGTGGAAAAGTTGGTTGTAAAACAGATTGAAAGCATGGTGTTTGGAGCGATTACGCAAAAAAACGAGGGGCAAAGTTGTTCTGAAGGCGAGCAATCTTGGTTCCTGGGTGGGGCTCCGAGGTGAGTAGGTAATTGGAGATTCATGACCACGTAGAGCCCCAGAAGTGAAGAGAGGCGAACAGGTCGACCGGTTCCGACCCCTCCTCACACCCAGGTAATCAATAATTCATGCGGCGAGGGCGAGGCAGGTTCCGGATGAAGGGGTACAGGAAGATGTCGATGTCACATCGATGTAAGGCTATCCCTGCAAAGATCTGACCGATGATCCAACGCCGCGCCAAAGACTCTCTACTCCGCCGTTTCTTCCGGGCGTTGTAGCATGAGACGAAGAAGGCGCTTGTGCGGGCTTGATTTTATAAGATCCAAAGGCATTGGTTTGCCTCCTAGAGTGCCTGAGCATTTTCTGTCTTAAAGGTCATGCATGATTCAGCCAGGTCAGAGAACCAGCCGACCACCTTGAACGACACAGGAGGAAGAGGGACCTTGGCATCCAACTAAATTCGCGGCCATCAGGCTCCGGACCAAGAGCGAAGTGACTAGAGAAGATTTTCACTTTTCTGGCCGATCAAAAATTCTATCCGGCGGACCGAACCAACCCCAAGGCACCTCCAATTGTTGGGTTAAGTCACCTGTCGTCATGGTCACAAGCCACCAAGAGTTTATCAGATCGACCGAACAAGTCACCACTTATCTGGCGGCGAAGACCCTCGCCTGAGTTCTGGATGAAATTATGGCCTCTCGCGGGAGCAGGTACTCGCTGGCCGACAAAACGAATCTGTGAGCCGCTGGGTGATTCACCCTCCTTCTGAGTTGATAGCTCGTACTCGGACCCGGACGAACCAAGGAGATCTTATTGAGAGACAAAGGGATTGCAGAAGAAGGCAGAGGCGCATTCATCGGCCGTGAAGGGAAGACCGAGATCAAACTATGTCAGCCCGGATCGGTTCGCTGTCGGGACTTAGGCTCACGTCGGAAGACGTCGAGACGATCGGCGATGCATTTTTCCCAGAACGCTTGGAAACCGGCTTTATCGCTATGGGAACGTCCTGTGCGCTCACCTTCACCCGCTTATCCGCTCAAGATGAGGTGCGAGGAGAATTTAGCAGAGGCTGCTTGCCGGCGGTGGGATCAGGGGGTCGATTACCTGCGGTCAAGTCTATTGACGTCCCTTGACTGCCACCTGTACTACTCTTGAGAATTTCGCTTAAGAAGCCGTGATTCCCACTGTACCGTCAATGTTTAAAGAAAGCATCGATGAGGAAATCATTCTCAGCGCGATGGTTTTTCGCACTAAAGTCAAGGTGATGGATCCTTGACCAATCGAACAACCGTGTTCGATAACGATCACTCGTCGTCGCCGACAAGTGGTCCATGACGAATTTTGGAGGCATCCATGCCTTCTTCTCGGGAGCTAGACGCAAAACACTGCGGTCCCGCTCTTCTTGCGACGTGCCGACAGAAGTACTGGCACCTTGTTGCGAAATGGTGTCAATAGGAGAACCGACACCACTGTGAGCGCCCGAGTCTTGTGACTTCGAGCGCCTTCGCTTCGGCGATGGTTCATCTGATTCATCAGATGAACCAAAGATGCTGCGACTCATAGCATCATCCATGCCACGCTTGGCAGGCGGCTTGGATTCGTTGACTGAGCTCCACCACAAGAAGGGACATCCGACTATGTCAAAGGTCGAGTTGCCATCGCCAGTGGTCGATCAGCGCCCTGTCATGCTTTAGCTCATCGCGAAGCTGTGGCACGAGAGCGCCAGAGTCAACTTACTTCAGTTTCAAGCGCTTAAAACGAAATGACCTGTATTGCGGTGACGGAGACATCAAGGCCAGTCAAATCTCACAGGCCTTGACTTGTTTAGACGACTCCACCACATCAACGGGCGGTGCGCTCATGGTTGGAAGGCCATCGATGAGGTGTCTCGGTGAGGCTGAATCGACCTCGACGGGAGCAGTGCTGGATACAATCACGACTAGGGTCGACCTCACATTAGAAGTGACCTGAGCCGATTCCACCGGTGGCGAAGTCGACTGCGTGGTCATGGCTGCCTCGCCAGCGTTCGCCAACAATGACAACTGTGAAGAATCGGGGGTGACAGGCGATGCTACAACTGGGTCTGCTTGGGCAGAGATCTCTGCCAAGGGTGCAGGTGTTGGCGAACTAGGAGTTGTAGCCGGAAACTCGGACGGTGAGTCGGATCCAGGTAAGAAAATGGAAATGAAAACACAGGGTAGACGGTCAAAAGATATCGTGGTCAAGAGAAGGTAAAACTTACGTAACTGGCGTCGTGAAGACATGCTCATGCTCGATCTACTGTAAGGTCGAGCAAGTGCAGGGGACGGCTGTGGTAAAGCGAGTTTAAAATTAATGGACTAATGGGTCGGCGAGCCGGATGGACCTGAGACCTCACAGCTGGGAAAGGGACCGAAGACCTGGAGGTCACAAGCAAAGAGTGGCAGTATGTTCAACCGTGACGAGCCGTTAAGGTCACCGCAAACGGGGTCAAACCGACCGACGGTAACAGTTAAACGGTACCGGTATGGACCGTTCCTAACCACTCGTCCATCTGCCTGATAGTCCAAGGTGTACCTCGGTCACCCGTAAGCCGACCTGGCCACCCATCGGTCGACTTGGCCTCTCAAGGTCTGGTGGCTCCTTTCCACTCATCATAGAGAACCCAGGTGCGAGACAAAGATAGTGTAAAGGAGCTTAAAGGATAGGACAATATTACGATCGCTCAATTTGCGATCTAAGAAGCACGACGTGTCGTGCGCTAAGAAACTTGTAAGCCTACCGACCTGTTCCGGGTCAGGGATCTGTTTGGCCCACCCGTCGAATAGACAGTTGTCAGTAAGACTCAAGCGTAAGTCGGAACCGTAGGAATTGTATTGTTCTGTGGATTTTTGGAGTATCACCCCTTAGCACAAGCCTCCTATAGGAAGCGGTCTCCATACCCTAGTGGTAAGGGAGAAGAACGTAAAGGCAAGGCGTTTAGCACCCTGAGACAAGTAAAGGCCAGGCGCTACCAGCACCTGAGCCAACTGGTTATAAGAATACTCTCGACCAAGTCAATCGAGTGGCCGCCTACATCGGATCCCGACTGAAGCATATCCGCTCGGGCCCCCGCCCTGGGTCGACCTTTATCAAGCCAACGTCCAAAGTCATCATCAATTATCCCGAAGATTGAAACCCGCCAGCCGACGGATACACCAGGTGCTTCAAGGTCCACAAGCGGCATCGGGTACCCCCTCCGACGGTCGGCAGTCCGGCACAGTGAGTGGTTTGAGGTCTCGTCAAACTGTTTTGACAACCCACTCCACCACACTAGCTAGCGGCGTAATCGCATGTGTTGAGTGTTTGACCCGTCGACACGTTTCACACGTACGCGCAAATGTGCTCATCCATTTGTACAACTTGAGCTACCAATACGTCTGGCTAACTGAGCAATAGGTCTTCTCACCACCGAGATTACAGCTCAAAGCAGCGTCATGTATCTCAAAGAGAATACAATACTTTAAGTGCTTATCATAAGGAATAATGATACATCCGCGCAATAACACAGCAACCCACGATCGAGGACATATCGATGTAGGCTCGCACGTAAACGTGCCGACAATTTGATGCTCGAGTGTTTGAACTCCTCGCTCCCAAGATCATGTAGCAATGCTACATATTGTTCATTGCTAGCATATGCCGCACGGACTAAATCAGAGATAGACGACGACAGAGTATTAACATGATCAAGCTCATCATCAGGTCTGCGTGACAACGCATCAGTCAAAGCAATTTTTTTGCTCGGCTTATACTTTGCCTTGAAGTTATATTTGGCAAAGAGTGAAACCCATCAGGCCATATGCTGTGAGAGGTGAGGTGAATGTGTCGCAGTGCGTAATGACGCATGATCTGTGAAGATCAAAAAAGGCTTTAAGCCAGGGAGATGGAACCTGAACTGAACAAGACAGTAATCAATTGTAATAAACTCCTTGTCGTGAACTGGATAGTTGCAGTCTTTCGCTGACGACACTCATACGCAATGACGCGTTCATGTCCATCGACATCTGTCTGCAATAATGCACAACCAATAGCTAATTAGACGCGTCACATACGACAATGAAAAAAAGGCCGCTCAGGGTCAGGCAAAGCCAAAATTGAGGCATGAAGGAGACTATTCTTTATAGGTCAAAAAGCTTGAGCCTGGACTGTGTCCCAACAACAAACCGTATCCTTTTTAAGGAGGTGCCTTTGCCAGGTCAGCGCAATTTTCACTATGCTTGTGCAAGTGATTGGCCAAACTGAGCTATTTGCGCAAGTCTTTTTGGTTCGACGGAACCTGCCAGATAACAATTGCCGTTACCTTAGCGGGATCCACCCGCAGACCGCGCTTCCCAATATAGCACCCGAGAAAGGGAACTTTTCAGCACCAAAAAAGCATTACGATGGATTTGTATTCAGCTTGTTTGTACGCATAAGCTCGAGCACTGCTCGTAAATGGGTCAATGTGGTTGTCTACATCTGAACTACAATGGTCTGCACGGCTATGGACAAAGACGTCATCGAAACAGCTTTGTGCGCATCCTCGGTGAGGTCGTAACAACTGCGTCACGAGACGACTAAACATTTCAGGGGCATTAGACTGCCTTTGGGGCATAATAATCCACGCCCAAAGCATACCGCTTGGAGTAATAACCTCTGTGAGCGGGATATCACTCGCTCACATGAGCAATTGATATTACCCATCGACCTAATAGAGTGTATTTAACATGTTACAATCTACCATAGCGTTTTGAAGAACATCCTTTCTAGGAATAGGCGTCTGTGCCGGAATAGTGGCTGCATTGAGCTTATAGTAAGCATGCACAATACGCCACTTGCCACTTGGCTTTCTGACACAAAACGTCGGTGTCCAGTGCGGATATTTGCTCTCATGCACCATGCCAGCCGCGTGCTTTGCACGAAAGAACTCGTCAATGATGTCACACTGTTCCTTAGGCAACGGCCATATCACACACTATTTGGTTCAAAGCACCAGGTAAATCCCATGATGCACACCTCGATCAGGAGGCAGAGTGGAAGGTGGATCGTGACGCATCATATCCTGAAACCCTTTACCAAACGATAAAACAGGCCTCTTGGATCTTTCAAGACCGATGACCCACTTCGAGCACCCAGTGCTGCCTTTGTTTCGTACACATCTTCATCAAGAAGTGACGGCGAGTTCAACTCACTATCAGATCTAATGACCATCACTTTAGAAAATTCGCCCGGCTTTAAGGTCAGGCATCCATTAACGAGTGTATATAGTTGCTCGCTAGTATCACTTAGTGACGTAACAGACGCCTTGCGTTGCATAAAAGCGATTAGGCGTCGCTGTCGCCTCCATGACGAGACCGAACGTCTCGAAGAGACTGGAACTTTCTCGTTCCCAAGGTTGATATCATCATCATCCTTAACTTGCTCTGTACAAGAGCTGGTGTCATACCGATATCCAGGACACCAATTTATTCAATATCAACATGCCCATCAACCTTAAGTTGATCATTACCAGAGCCTATGTCATTACCGACATCCAGAAATATACCGCCCTTAAGGTGACGAAATGCATCAGCCTTAATTTGTCCAATATCAGGGCCGATGTCATTACCGACATCCGGGACTACACTGTCCCCAAGGTGACAAACTACGTCAACACTGATCTGCCTAATATCAGGGTCGATTTCATTGCCGACATCCGGGACTACACTGTCCCCAAGGTGACAAAATACGTCAACACTAATCTGCCCAATAATAGGGCCGATGTCATTACCGACATCCGGAACTACACTGTCCTCAAGGTGACAAACTACGTCAACCTTAACTTGATCTGCATCAGATCCGATGTCATTACCAACATCTGGTGATGAGTCACTACCACTGATATCACCACCCGGTGGGACTCACGTGCCACTCCGCGCCCGTCAAATAGGATAGCCCTTGATGACTTGGTGTTTAACCAACAATGTCTTGACTGAAATTCAGTGTGTTGAAAACACGGTCAACATCACTCAGTGAGTACTTACGTGCCCACTCCTTGCCCACCAGATGGATTAGGCCCATGATGACTTGGTTCTAGGCCAACAATGCGTTCGACATTAAGTTATTCGTTATCACAACGATTATCACTCGACGGAGTCCGTGCCATTTCACTAACAGTCAACGAGCATGGCTCGTGACTAATATTTTTAACATCGTCCAGTTCGATGAGTTCTTCCATACCAGTGTCCAGCACACTTGCTGTATCAGTCCGTGGCTCGCGCTAATAGGTGTTCGGTTTACTTGCAGAGGTGGGCTCATAACTATCCAAAGTTTCACTACGAACAGCGCGCGTTGCACCTAAGGCATTTGACCTCCAATCAATCCATGTATCACAGCGTTCTAGCCAAGCCATACCGAGGACAAGATAATACCTCTCATCCAATTCAAGGACCAGACATCATTCAATACTATCAAAAGTACGGTTACTTAGCGTAATCGTAAAGTTCATAGAAACTTTTTGGCACAGTGACTAATGTACCTGTCGCCAAGCGAACAGCGATACTCTCATTCTTTCGCGCTTTCAGCGCCTCAGCATACTGCTGAAAGCCTTTCAGGAAACAACGTCGAACAAATTTCTTGACGCCCCGGAGCCGATCAATATCGATCATGGCTTATCAGAGCCCTTCACCGTCGATATTGCAACTACAAGCCTGGCTTGTACTCATGCTTCTTAATATTGTTCATGAAGCCACCCGGGGCTAGGCATTAATCCCCATCACCTCAGAGGTACAACAGAGCCCAAACATTCTCCAGTAGCGCGCCTTGCGCGTACTGGGACTCAACATTTTCCCACCCTTACCAACTTGTTGGTTAGCGATGGGATGTCGTCTCGAATGAGATTATCTGGTCCTTCTCAAATGACAGTTGGGAGGAAGATGTTTGATTCTTCCGCACGTAGAACATCTAAGTATTTTGACCGCAGTTCGACTGCACAGAGCTTAGCTTTATCGTCTCTCTCAGTGAGACAAAGGTCCATGGGCTCTGTCCTATCCATAAGATAAGCATTGTTTGAAGAGCTCGATTGGAACCCATGAGTCTTATAACGGGTAGATTTAAAGCTAAACTCTGCATTTAAAGCTATTTCCACTGTACCCTCAAATGTCGAGGTTTTGGGCACGGAACAATTTTGTTCTGGTACTGCCGGTGTGAAGACCTTCTAAAAAAGTGGTTACCAAAACCGTCTCAGGTAAAGGGTCATGCTACATAGCAGCAACGAGAGTTCGCAACTTATGGACATAATTGACTAAGTCCTATTCACCCTGGCCGGTTGACAAGAATCGTGATCGCACGCGATATGCCTGATTAGGCACGGCAAACACCTAAGAGAGTTGCTGTTTTAGCATATCCCAGGTGGTAAAGTCTATCGAGGTGACAAAAGTGAAGGCCCACTCCCTGGCTCGCCCTCCTAACTTCGATAGGGCCAGGCCCAACTTTTGCTGCTCTGACCGCAGCAGGGCCGAGCTGATGGCAACCTTCATCTCTCGAACCCACAAAACGAGATTTCCCTACAATAGTCTTGACACTTAAGACCAGAGGTCGGTGTCCGATATTGGAACATACCAAGTGGGCATGACGGATGCCAAACGGTCATGAACCTGCCCGATCAACGTGGACTCAAAGTTCGAGAAGGCCTCAACACGTGCACGAAGTGCGTCCGGGTCTTATTCCATTATAAGCGCCACTTACTCGTGCCCGATCAACGCCTTGAGCTTTTTAAGCGTGATCTGATGGGCCTCAGAGAGGCCCATGGCCGTTTTAATCCTCGCAGAGGTTTCAGTATGTGAAGAATCAGGTGCAGATAGACTACGAGTTCTACCAAGTGTAGCGGAGCTACTTAGCGCTCCTTATTGAAGAACTCGTCGACTAAAAGAGTGTCTTAGATATAACAAAATAACAATGACGTACAGTAGTATAAGCGTAAAAGCTTAACAACTCCGGTTTCAAAGGGATTGCAATTCACAGAATTACACACTAACTAGATAATACTAGTTAAACAAGATTAAGCGCCTGCACCAGGCTAATTCTCTTAACAGCACGTTACGCCTTTACTAAGTACTTGTGTCCAACGATTTCAAAGGGGAACTGAACTTAATTTACTCTTTAAATATGGTAAAAAAAGCCTAGAACCTTGTTGGACTGACTTCTACATTGCGATCCTACGACAGAAGTCTTATCCCTACCCGAAAAGGTGCGGTATTATAGTAAGTACATGGTACCAATACTGTGCCTATCAGATACACCGATCTTCATTTGGTGAAAAAAAAACATAACCGGTTTAATGACGCCGTGTAACCCTGATAGAGGGCAAGTTCTGGACACAGAATAGCATGGTTTATGCGCGTGACAAAATGACAAACATAAAGCTTGCGCAACGTGACTCATCCGAAACAAACTTTCTCGCTTGCACGACAGCAAGATTCGCGCTCCCTTTTCCCTGGAGAAGTGACAAGCAGCTGGGTTTGTCGATTCGCCAACATCAGCGCCTTCACACATTTTGTTTATCAATGAAGGGTGACGCACCAATTCGATATACCACAGGGCAGAAGCAGAGGGTCGCCTAATCTCAGCGAGTTTTTCAAGTCCCCATGCAATGAAAGGAAATCTTAAAAACACCCTTCGTATCGTGACGGATCGTTCATATCAGGCTGTGGGAAATCACAAAGAGCACGTCTGTCTCTGAGACAATTCGTCAATATGGCCATCTATGGATGGAGAGCTGAGAGGTAGTAGAATGACGGGTGGTCCCATCGCGCTTCCCCGGTACTGCATACACAACATATTACGGAATTTAGTAGTCCAACTAAAGTTATGGATGACAGCAAGTTACCCCAGAATCTAAAAATTACAGCAAACAAAGCCAACCAATTTTCATAAGTTTGACACCAAAGCTACCTAGAATGTAACGGAATGACACGGCGTTAATGATCCGGTTATGTTTTTTTCTACACCAAGTGAAGATCGGTGGATCTGATTGGCACAGTATTGGTACCGTGTACTTACTATAATACTGCACCTTTTCGGGTAGGGATAAGACTTCTGTCGTAGGATCGCAATGTAGAAGTCAGTCAAACAAGGTTCTAGGCTTTTACTACCATATTTAAAGAGTAAATTAAGTTCAGTTCCCCTTTGAAATCGTTGGACACAAGTACTTAGTAAAGGCGTAACGTGCTGTTAAGAGAATTAGCCTGGTACAGGCGCTTAATCCTGTTTAACTAGTATTATCTAGTTAGTGTGTAATTCTGTGAATTGCAATCCCTTTGAAACCGGAGTTGTTAAGCTTTTACGCTTATACTACTGTACGTCATTGTTATTTTGTTATATCTAAGACACTCTTTTAGTCGACGAGTTCTTCAATAAGAAGCGCCGAGTAGCTCCGCTTCATTGAACGATAGAGGACCCCTTAAATAATTGATGACATCCAAAGTGTGCGACCAGGTAATATTCCCACCGACAAAACTCGACCAGATCGTACTCACCTGAGCCCGAATTACTTTTGTCCACATGCGACGGCAAGAACATTTCCCACAAATTATGATACTGAATAAAGGGAATTGCTAAATTCACACCCCTTTTTCTTAGATTCACACACTTCCTTCAAAATCTTATGTATAAAATCTCTATTTTTTTTAAAATTTGTTTTCGGACAAAGGTATTCCTCGATAATCTAGGGTGGCATGCGGTAACGTACCACGTGATTTGTGCCACTTGGCTCCAGTCCAGATCGCCACCTTCGCGTGCTTTGAGGACCGTTGTCACTGTTAGGTACAACACGTACGCCCATCCAGCCCAGGTGACGTCATTGAAGACCAGCAGGTACAGATTTAGTCGAGAGGACTGGGCCATCTTCGCTAATTCTTCCTATTGACACAATGGCTGGATACGTCTTTTTCATACAATCGGTTGGCCAATTATGAATGAAATGCATCGGTACAGTCAGTAACCGTCAACTGTGGCGGTATGGACGAAGGTGACGTGGGGTGAAAAAATGAGCCTTTAAAAGACGCTACACGCAAGTCGAGAAGACGTCGATATTTATGCATCTCATACTTAACATATGCTCAATAGGTTGAGGGCAGCAAACCGACAGGCTGTCCGTGGAGCATGTTCTAATGTCTGTAAGCAATTAGGGGGGGGGCGAAATAAAGCGTGCTGTACTCTAATCCGAGCCAACGCTCTTGAGGATCTACTCCGTCACCTTATGCATTTCCGTGTGTGCATTCACTTCCACCAGTATGCCCTGCTCACGGTAAAGTCAATCACGGGCTGCGTCTACTTGTGAAAATCCTCCAGACGCGAGCCAAGCGTGACTTTATTGTCGTCCTTGCGCTGAAGCAACAGCTCGCCCGTAATGTCGTCCTTACCGTCCACATTTGACGGAGCAAACTTGACATGGTTACTGCGGCCACTAGCCTAGTCCACGCGTTGACCTGCAATGCGTTCAACCAGCACTTTTTCCGGCACGTTAATAATCACCACAGCATCCACCGAGGTGTTTTCCTTTGTCAACTTCTCGTCGGGCTGCACAGCACCACATACAAAAAGAGGGAACAATGGTCAGCCGCTGCATTGCAACCTGTACACTCGTCTCTATCTCCTCTTGTTCTCAACTTTTTGGCCTGCACGACCGTTCGTGGAAAGTCGTCAAGAATAAAGCCACGGCAGCATTCAAAACTCTTGATGGCGTCCTTAATGATACCGACGACAATCTCGTCGGTCACAAGTGCGCCCGACTCCATCGCGGCTTCGACCTTTTTGCCTATGTCAGTGCCATCAGCTATAGCAGCGCGCAAGATGTCGCTCGTAGCCAAGTGGCAGAGAAAGTACTTGTCTTTGTCCAACGGCGATTGCGTACCTTGTTTATATAAGATTTTGAAGGAAGGTTGTGAACTAAGGAAAAAAAGGGGTGTGAATTTAGCTAAATTCCCTATATAAATTATGTTCGTAGCGAGCACACAACAATCACGTTTCTATCAACGCGACCATTTCAATCCATAAAAGAACGTAAACAATTTACGTATCTCTATGAACTCGTCGATGTAATATGCCTCGCGAGAGTCAGCTCACGCTGCGTTACAATTGCCTGCCGGATGCAAAACAGGCTACTGTACCGCCAATTCTTGTCTCGATCGCATGACTTGATACATGGGCTACGTATTTTGACTATTAATGTCGTACCAGATTCTCCGACGTGGTGTGGTACTATCGGTAAGTAACGTCCGGGTTATCTGTGAACACTGCCAGCATAACAACTAATGATAAAACTTGATCATTAGTGTCGTTACTTACCACGCCGTATCCCCACTATCGTACGACAAGACGGATAATCTCTTCCAAATTCCATGAAATGTGTGAGATTGCACCCTCGTGGTGGAGTTGCATGCGTCAACGAAATATTGCGCTGTCGTTGCTACTTCCATCATCGGCTCGAGCCTTGTATTGCTTGCAGTTGTCGAACTTTTATGAGTTGTGTTGCAATCTGAAACATGATCATTATGGAGACAGGGCAGAAGCCAAGATGCATGTATACCGGTATTCGACAAAGCAATGTACTCGTCTTAACCATCTTTGCTTTGCAATCCGGTTGCGCAACGTCTACCAATTCTCAGCCAGCCGTCCCCCTAAAAACAAATTTCTGCTAGAGTATAGGACTCCGATACGTGGACGTCATCGCTTACGTATCTGTCCAGGTACGCCACGCTCAATTGATTTTACGCACAAAAAAATTTATCAACAAATTCCCCGCCAACTACCACCAAATTGCTCATACAAGCGATTGACACAGGGCAAAAGCTGAATAGCCTGAACTAATTAGTTTTATAACGGGGCACCCTTCGTTCGCGTGGCATGAAACATCACGTACACTAGCTCGTGCAGAAGAAGCTAATCTACTCAAACAGCTTAGTTGAGTAAAGGGTAAAATGAGAACTGCATTTAATATAGTTAAGCTTTCAATATAACTTCAGTCTTTATCGAACTTTATTCATCTACATTGTCTGTGTGACGACGACCTGCTCACCACCCATTGCGCGCGTCTAGCAGCGATTGGTGGTAACCTCGGTTATTATGTCTTTTAGCAACCAATCTTCAAGTAGCACGTGAAATTAGCAGAAGATTGTCACGCGAGACAATCTCCTATTGACACCGTTTAGTGTCAATATCATGTAACGGGCTACACCGTTACATGTTTGACCCCGTCGACACGCTAGCTATACCTGTAACGGGGCACCCTGAAGCTTGTACTGGTAACATTACAAGCTACTTATTCTGATGACAGAAAAAGGCGGTGCCTCGGAACTTCACGTACACTGGTACGTGCAGAGGAAGATGGCAAGAAGAAGCGAGAACTTGCTTAAAGTAAAAAGTAGAACTGTATTTAGCATAGTTAATGTCTGTTAATAAATCACTATTTATCCTCATCTAACTATGTCTGAATACAAATGTGCATATCAACTATCTGCTCGCCACTCATTGCGTGCGTCTGTCGTGGCGCGTCTTCGTTGGTTGATATAATGGCCTATATCAACCAATTAGGAACTACTCGTAAGTGCTACAGAATATTTGTCCCTATGACAATATTCTGAGAATATAACTCTTATAGTTATATTCTATTAACGATTTCTTATAAATTGTTATGTAACGATTCACCCCGTTACATCACCCCCCCCCTTAACCATCAGTCACTTTAGTGACTGATTGACTGAATGGGTACTCGACCCAAATCATTTGGGACAGGGTTTGCACTTGTTGGTCCAAGTCCACTTTCCAGCAGTTCATCGCATGGTCAACAAGCCCATGCGGTGCGCGAGCAAGGCCGCCGAGAGCGCGTCCGCACGTCTCTGTGCGGACGCCGAAGCAGAAACCGCAGCAACTGATGTCTCATCGGTTGCTGAAGCGACTCAGCCTGTATCACCTGGTGATGCAGGCGCTGGTCATGAAGACACTCGTGTCTTCACAGAGTACGAGCTCGGTGTCTCGTACTCTCCTGATACGGATGACGGATCCGTATCGACGGCAATTGAATCCAAGCCGCCTGCCAAGCGTGGCATGGACGATGCTTTGCGTCGCAGCATCTTTGGTTCATCTGATGAATCAGATGAACCATCGCCGAAGAGAAGGCGCTCGAGGTCGCGAGACTCGGGCGCTCACAGTGGTGTCAGTTCTCCTATTGACACCACTTCGCAACGAGGTGCCAGTACTTCTGTCGGCACATCGCAGGAAGAGCGGGACCGCAATGTGTTGCGTCTCGCTCCCGAGAAGAAGGCATGGATGCCTCCTAAATCCGTCATGGATCACTTGTCGGCGACGACGAGTGATCGTTATCGAACACGGTTGTTCGATTCGTCAAGGATCCATCACCTTGACCCCAGCGCGAAAAACCATCGCGCTGAGAATGAATTCTTCATCGATGCTTTCTTTGAACATTAATGGTACAGTGGGAATCACAAGCGTGATGGTCCCTCACTACTTCAGGCGTGGAACGCCTACATCCATAACCTCGAGGATGTCGGTCGTGACGCTTGGAACGACAAACTTATCAAAGCTCGTGATAAGTTTGAAAAGCGAACTTCGACAGGTGCACGCTACAAGCTGCATCGTCTGTCTAGGGAGAAACGGTTACACCGCCTCTCCTGGGGAGACTCGTGCCCATGTTGTGTGAACAACTCAGCGCGCACACCTAGGGAGGCTTACCTCCTTACTAGCCCGTGGTGGCGCGTACGTATCTCTAGTGAGATGTACGAAGGGATTGACAACCTGAAATCCCTTTACGACCGTGCCGGGAAGACTTTCTCCAGCGGTCCTTCTGCGGTACAGGACGTTCTGCATCGTACTGCTCGACCAGACCCAGTACGTCAACCATCAGTGGGGAGCGGGGCTCCCAAGTATCCCAGTACGGGGGATAGCCGCGCCACCGGAAGAGATAACTCGTCCGACGTCCGTTCACGTCGCGGTGGTTCAACAGCTGCTCAACCAGATAGCGCTGGCCACCGCGAGAGTTCTCTAATGGAGTTGGAGGAGGATGGAAGACGCTCTCCACACAATCGTGGGGAAGCGTGTGTTCCCGAGAGATTCTTTGATCGCGTAACGCAAGGGTTACGCGGCGATCTCGAACATGAGCGGGACAGGCGTCTCCAACTGGCGGACACTGTCTCGAAGCATCGTGCTGAGTTTGCCATTGCTCATCTTGAGAACGAGAGCTCTGACGTCTCTGCGTGACGAGCTAAGGGTAGCTCGTGGGATTGTTGATCGGTCTCGGGCTGAGATAACAGCTCTTCAGACCCTTGTCGATGCCCAATATCGGGAGCACAAGGCTCTCTGCGAGATGCTTGAGCGCAAGGGCGTCCTTCATCGGAAGAAACATCGTACTGATGGTACGGCTTAAGCCGACCAACGTTAAACGAGGGATGCGTTCGCATCTTACGTGGCAACTCGATCGTGTATGCGTTGCCTAGGCGATGCAATACACGAAATGGGCCGATGTACTTGGATAGAAGTTTACTGCTACCCAAGTTAGTCACTACATGCTTTGGTAGATTAACCGTAGACAGTAGGACTAAGTCACCTTTATTAAATAAAAGAGTGTTTGCCCTTCCATTCTTGTCTGCGTTTTGCTTTTGCTTATCCTCCGCTTTGGCGATGGAGTCTTGCACAAAACGGACTACCGTTTCACGAGCCAGTATGAATTCATCTGATGACTCGTTAGCTTCAGTGCGCTGTGAGTGCACTGCAGCAACATCAATCTTTTCTTCAGTGAGGGCTTCCGCACTCTCACTGACATCATCTTCTTCGATATCGATGTTATCGATATCGGCATCAAACGCAATGACCACTTCGTCAGAGCGTGATGAGCGTGAACCAAATCGGTTTTTGCTCGCGCGAGTCCCTCCCCCCCTTATACCAGAGTTACACTCTAGTAAGGTGGGTACACGCGGATGGCGCAATCCATTCACGTAAAACGGTGTATGTGTCGTGGACGCATGTACCGAGTTGTTAATGGCAAACTCTACCATGGGCAAGAACTCACTCCAACTCTTAAAGGAGTGTACGTATCCTCGAAGTATCTCTTCGAGGACACGATTGGCACGTTCCGTCTGACCATCTGACTCTGGATGATCAGATGTTGACATCTTCAAGCGCGTTCCGAGTGATTTGAACACGGAACGCCAGAAATCAGCAGTGAATCGTGGATCTCTGTCTGATACGAGTGCACAGGGCAACCCATGAAGTCGGAAGATGGTGTCAATAAAGACACAAGCACAGCCACTTGCCGTGATTGTCTCTGGTACAGCCACAAGGTGTACCATTTTGCTGAATCTGTCAACAAATACGAGAATACCCGTATTCCCGCGTGCGTCTTTGGGTAACCCGAAGACGGAATCCATTGAGATGGATTCCCAGCACTCAGCCGGAACCGGTAGAGGCTGTAAAGGTGCACGCAGTGAAGGACTTGACTTCACTCGTTGGCAGACTTCGCATGCGCGAACATACTTTCGCACAAACTGATACTGGCGGGGCCAGTAAAAGTCTCGACTCACCGTGAGATATGTTTTCTCCCGGCCACGATGTCCTCCTATAGGAGCATCGTGATACTCGAACATGATCCGCAAACGCAGATCAGTATCATCTGGAATGACAACACGTGGTGTGTCACCAGAAACGGCTGTATAGTACAGTAAACCGTTACGAGTAGTGTATCGATCTGATGCAGATCGATACGCAGACGACAATCGTTTCAACGATTCTCGAGATGGCTGTGAGAGATGTGTCAACAACTTCACAATCTCACCATCTTGGGCGTATGCCCGCCTCACATCATCATTCAACGTTGAAGATGGGACTGAGGACGTCATAACCGCAACAGTGACTGTCTCACTGTTGGGTTTAGCGACTGTTTCAAAGTCGGGACGACGTGAGAGTGCATCAGCGACGACATTAAGTCGTCCTGGTTTGTACTCGACCGTAAAGTTGTATTCTGCAAAGAATGACAACCACCGCGCCATTCGTTGTGAAAGGTGCGGGCTGTTCACTGCCGTGCGTAATGACGCATGGTCAGTGTAAACAACGAAGGGTCTATCTCCTAATAGATAGACTCTGAACTTCGCGAGTGCATACTTCATGGCAAGGAGTTCCTTGTCATGCACTGGATAGTTCCGCTCAGCTGGTTGCAGCTGACGCGACTGATAGCAGACGACGCGTTCAACGCCTTCAAGATCGTACTGCATTAATGCACAGCCGATTGAGAAATCGCTGGCATCACAGACCACATGAAATGGCCTGTCCTGATCGGCAATTGCTAGGACTGAGGATTGCATTAAGCTCTGCTTGATATTATCAAAGGAGCGCTGACATTCAGCGTTCCATAACCACCTCTCGTTCTTTTTCAACAAACGAGAGAGGTGGACAGTCATCTCGGCGTAATTTCGTGAATACTTGTGCAAATACGCCGCTAGTCCAAGGAATTTTCGAAGACCTTTGACATCAACCGGCACAGGCCAGTCGGTGATCGCCTTGATCTTTTCGGGATCAGGACGTACACCGTTCTTACCAACGATGCACCCAAAAAGTGGTATTTCGCTTGCTGCAAATATACACTTCTTGAGGTTTGCATACAATTGATGCTTTCGCATGATTGTAAGAACATGTCGGACGTGGTACCTGTGAACCTCAACGTCCGACTTCTTATCCATAGCTCGACTATGGATGAATACGTCATCGAAATAACTCGGCGCGAATTCTCGTACTGGTCTCAACAGATGTGATACACATCTGTTGAACGTGGCAGGGGCATTACTAAGCCCTTGTGGCATTACTAGCCATTCCCAGAGCATGCCGCTAGGCGTGCTAACTGCGGTATAGGGTACATCCCGTTCTAGCATAAGGATTTGATAGAAGCCATCCATCAAATCCATGGATGAAAAGATGGTACTCTTTGACATACCATCAATGATTACGTCCTTCCTCGGTATCGGCGTCTGAGCCGGTACCGTTGCAGCGTTCAATTTGTTGAACGCGTGCACTATCCGCCACCCTCCTGTTGCTTTTCGCACACAGAAGGTAGGAGATCTATGTGGGGAAGTCGATTCCCTCACATGGCCCGCAGCTATACGATCGGCAAAGAACTTGCCGATCGCAAATACTTGTTCACGAGGCAGTGGCCACTGCTTCATGACACAGTACTTCGAGCCTGGTTTAAGCTCGACCTCGTGTCGAATACCTTTATCCTTCGGTAATTCGCACGGAACATTTTCAGGGAATCCATCCTTGAATCCAACCAAATCTTCATAGAGAGGATTTGTCTTGAGCGATTCCCACGATTGGGAGTCATATCGCTCAATTCGTGTCTTTTCATCTAGGACACTCTCTTCCATAGATGAACTACTGAGAACTCTCTCGTTCTCAGTAAACACTGTTGCTGACCTTATGTCGGTTGCACGCTCGTCGTCAGCGACGAGTACGCAGATCTGCTTGACTTTGCCACTACGCAGATCACGCAAGAACCTTTTATGTTCGAGCGTTGGAAACTGAGTGATCTCCGAAGTCAACTTCGGAGGCGCAATCAGATCAAGTGTATAAGCGCCTACGCTTGATCCGTTGTTGACTATGACATTCAATGTCTCTGTCATTTCCTGGGGACTTATTCCCTCAGGCCTCGAAGGACTTATGCCTTCGGCTTCCCGGGGATTTATTCCCGCGGGTTTCGGGGAACTTATTTCCGCCGTATTTGTAATCTTGGGACTTATTCCCTTAACTTCCTCTAGCTGGGGTTGCGCAACCACAGCGAGATCCTCTACGAAAGACTCTCCAGTCGATCTAGGATTATCGTTTCGCTTAACCTGAGCGATTGATGGTTTCTCTTCTAGATGTTCCCTGCTAGGGATAAATCTTTGTCCCAGTCCACCCGACTTAGTCGAGTGGTGGACCTTCGGCGCAGCCTGTGTTTCCTCACAGCCGCCGGAACTTTGCTCCGAAGTGTAACTGTTTGTTACACTGAGGTTTCGTGCAGTCGTGCTAACGACCGTACCACAAGTGAGGCCATCGCACTCACTCGTAGTATATCCACACGCTTGTGGACGCTCCAAAACGTTCATCATATGGCCATCTGATGAACAAGCGGCAGGCATCGTTACTGTTCGATGTTGCCAGTTTACCCGTGGTTCGTACCTTCTGAGCCACGGTATTCCAAGGATGACATCAAATTTGTCAGACAAATCCAATACGATAAATTCATCGTCATATTGGATATATTCTAGCGTATAGTGGATCTTCACTATATGCTTCATGACGGTTACGGATGCGCCTGTCGCAAGACGTACCGTCATCCTCGTAGGAGGTGTGTCACATTCACTGAACTTAAAGTGACCATCTTCTAGCGATTGGCGTTGCACAAAATTGTTGGACGCCCCACAATCGACTAGAGCTCGAAGGGATAACTTATTCGTCACTTCGAGTTTCAAGGTAATGAGTGAGATCTCATTACCTAGAGCAGCAACGCACAACGTTTGTGTGTTGGGAGCAACTTTCATCAAGAGGCCTGCAAATTCTCTTGACGTTGCTAGACCAGTAGGGTGCTCCGCACCTACTGATCCTTTCCGTTTTTTGACGGTCCATCCCGTTGTTGCGTCTTTGCACCAACAGCGGACCCTCGTCCCTGCCCCTTTCTCATGGGCGGACGGTCACTACGCCCAGTGTCGCGAGACACTGGACGAGGGGCACTACACTCGTAAGCGTAGTGTCCTGTCTTTTGACATCTGTTGCATCTCTGCAACTTCTTGTAGCCTGTAGAGCGAGCCTTCTCGCTCTCTACATAACAGAGTTCCATCGGCTCTGGACCTCCGTTGTCATATCGTCTCGGTTGACGATATGATGTCGAGCTGGCGCGAGCCTGTCTCAGACTGAAGTCTTCCTGCTCCGCAATGGGAATGGCTTGTTCTAGTGAATCTAGTTCAAGCCGGAACAGGTGAGTCTTGACGGGACCATCCGCAAGACCCTGCATGAACACCGAAACCAGCGTGTGTTCATCGACCGGGTTGGAACTTATACAACTCGTGAGATGTCGTATATGTTGCGCGTAAGCGTGCACATCACGCTTAACTTGTTTGAGTTTCAAGAGTTCGGTTCGAGCTCTGAACTCAGCTCTAGGCGGTTCAAACGTTTGTCTGAGCCGCGACTTGAAGACTTCTAACGACCCAAACGCATATGGGTCGTGCAACTTGAGTCCCAAAGCCCAAGTCTTGGCATGTCCTGCCAGATTTGATTGGGCAAATGCAACTTGCATTTCCCCATCGTCGATGCGACGCGCCCTTATGGCGTCATCCAATTCGACAAACCATCTCAAGAGGGAGTCCTCTTCTGTAATGGGGCAACCCATTATATTAAGTAGTCATAGTTTTATTACATAATTACATACATTAAGTGTAGGCAGTATCCGGATAGCGGATACTGCGCGTCTATTTATTATTGGTTTATTATTGGGGTGCCAGACCCAATAATTAGCCAATAATAATTAGTTCTGTATTTGAGTGGTTCCCATGAGCTAGGGAACATATTCGCACTTACTGCGAATTATAAAAACACAAAAATACAAACAGAGTTAAATTTACCTTATAAATCACAGCGCTTCCTCAGCTTAATTATTAGTGTAAGACGGTAACGGGCTCTCACCCCGTTACACCTGGTAGCACTTGTTGGTCCTTCCCATGACCAAGTTCGAGATGGATATGAGTGAATCTTCGATGGCTCCAGCAGTTTCGCTGGAGCATGCAGATTTTCCCCATCTCACTACGGTAGAATGGCAGGCATTACACCGCCTCGCGGCGGTGTCTGGTGAAATCTTCGTGACGACGCTGCTGAGCACAGCGACGCCCGAACAACACCGTGCCGCCATTCAAGACTACATGGTGCGCGAGCTCGCCGAAGCGAACCGGCGAGTACATACTCCCTCGCGCCCCTCCCATTACGATGCAATTAAAATGGAGACGTCGACATACTCTGGTGATGGTCCAGATCGTCTCCCCCTTAATCGCTGGTTTAGGGAGATTGATATCGCCATAGCGTCAAGGTTGATTGACGCTCCGACGGCCAAGGTTAATTTCCTACTGTCTCGGCTTGTTGGTAAAGCCAAAGAACGGGCTCTTGGGAAGCTCGTTGTAAACGAGTTGGCATTCCCCACGCTGGACGATATCCAGCGCGACTTACGACTGGCGTTCGAGCCCCCTCAAGATGAGTCACGCTTGCGCGCAGATTTCTTTTCACTTCGACAGGGCAAGCTGTCGATGCGTGATTACGTACAGAAGACGAGACATCTTGCTTCGTGTATCATCACGCAGCCGATCGACATGGCTTCGCAAGTTCATGTCTTTGTCTTTGGTATGCAAGAGGGCATGACCCGCTATTGCCTCACACGTGCTGAACCTAAGACTCTTGAGGAGGCATTTGCCCTCGCGCTTCGTGAAGATTACACGGTCGCATCGTCATATTTGCAGGCAGCGTCGCAACGCCCGCGTACGTCTGGCCCAGAGCCTATGGAAATTGACGTTATCGATGCATCTCGTGGTCGCGGCAAGCAATTTGGCCGCGACATTCGAATTCAAAACACGATGAAGTGTTATCGGTGCGGCAAGACTGGCCATCGTGCGGCCGTCTGCCGAGCACCAGCGCCGGTGTCCATGAACACAGCTGTCTCACGTGGAGATACTGTGTCGTCAGTGGTCCCGCCAAAAAACGAGCGGTTCCAGTAGGTGCGGGGCGCCCTACTGGCAGTAATGGAGCCCCGAGTACTCAGGTGGCAGCTCGGGCTCCTAGCCCTAAAGTGATACATACCCACTTCAATGCCACCACTATGCGCGACGATTCGAGACTGATAATTATCAGTCTCATCGTTGCTGGAGTTAAACGACCACTTCGAGCGTTGTTGGATTCGGGTGCATCCAACAACTTCTTTCGAGCATCATGTTTGTCCCTTCTCCCGTCGACAGTTACGGTTCGAGAAGGTCCAGGTGACATCGTTGTCAAACTTGCTGATGGACAACCACAGCGTGTCCCGCGTAAAACAGTGGTTTTGCCGTACACGTTCGACGGCTTCCAAAGTAATGACGAATTTTTGGTGTACGAGATGAATTATGCATTCGATTGCATCTTGGGGATACCGTGGCTGTCACGATATCAGCCGACGATAGACTGGCTATCTCGGTCCGTCAAACGACGAAGCGGTTACGACGTAAGTGAAGTTTTCACTCATCTGTTGGTAGCGCCATCCGATTGGCCTCACGTCAGGGTCGTGAACGAACTCGCCACGACTAGAAGTCAGCACAGAGAGAGCGATGGCCCTCTGTGTCCGGTATGTTCAGTCACACTGATAGAACCACAACACGAGGCGGTCGAACAGAGGTTCCCGCAAACCCAGACATCGGTCGAGCAGGGGCTCCCGATTCACAACGAGACGGTCGAACAGAGGTTCCCGCAAACACAGACATCGGTCGAGCAGGGGCTCCCGATTCACAACGAGGCGGTCGAACAGGGGTTCCCGCACACACGGACATCGGTCGAGCAGGGGCTCCCGATTCACAACGAGGCGGTCGAACAGGGGTTCCCGCACACACGGACTTCGGTCGAGCAGGGGTTCCCGAGTTCTAGCGAGGCGGTCGAGCAGGGGCTCCCGCATACACACACAACGGCCGAGCAGAGACTCCCGATTGTAACCGAGGTGGTCGAGCAGAGGCTCCCACATACATCTGAGGCGGTCGACGACGAGCTCCCGCCTCTTATCGACGAGAATGAACGGGCTGTGGACTTAAATGCGAACGACGTGGTGGAGACAGAGCTCCCACGTCTAGCGGGGGGTACTTCATCCTCCAGCGACAGCGACGTTCCAGCCTCGAGCAGTGGCTCAAGACGCAAGAGAAAGCGTAAACGCAAGAAAGGTGCACGCCGATCACCAAGACGACGAAATTCTCGCTCAAGCGCCGTTGACGATGATACTGTATTGACGGAATCCGTTTGTGCGCTTGAATATGTGGAAGGGTCTTCACATCGTGGCCGCTACGTTGAGGTAGCGAGCCCTCCGTGCACTGTTGCAGAGATCACATCTCTATTAACCCTACCATGGAAAGATTTTCTTCACGACCTCAAGGCCGGCGACATCGAGCAAGTGTGCATCATATCAGCCGCCGAAGCAGCTAGTGGAGAAGTTCTGGAGGCTCGCCCAAAGAGCGCTGAGCCCAAATCAGCGCGCGAAGAACGTTTCGTGGCACAGTCTTGGGAAGCCCTTCGTGCTTCGGGCAACCCTGTCTATGATATCGCGCGTGAGTATGCCGACATCTTTCCGGAGAATATCCCCGCTGAGCTTCCAGCGGATCGTGGTGTGCGACACAAGATCGATTTCGTGCCAGGATCAAAGTATTGCGTGACGCGGCAGTGGCCGCTACCGCGTGACCAAGTCATCGCAATTGATAAGTTTTTTGAGGGCCGCCGTAAGGCAGGACACGTCCGCGAAAGCATATCGCCACATTCGAGTCCGACTTTCTGTGTGAAGAAAGCCACCGGTGGTTGGCGCATCGTGCATGCTTTTAACAAGTTGAATGACGCCACGATCCCGGCTCAAACACCAATTCCTCGGAAAGACATGGTACTGGATACCATGTCCGGCAGCGAGATTTTTAGCGCCATAGACCTGACAGACGGGTTTTACCAGATTTTAATGAGGGACAGTGATATCCCGTTCACCGCTGTCAGCACACCGAGTGGGATGCTTTGGGAGTGGCTAGTCATGCCACAAGGCCTTAAGAACGCTCCAGCAACGTTCAACCGGATGGTGACACAAGTGCTTCGGCCACTACGTGATTTTGCTCCAAGTTATTTCGACGATATTTTTGTTCACAGCCGCGCTGAGCAACAACTCAGCGCTACGGAGGTCCACCTTCGGCATTTGAAACAGGTGTTCCAAGTGATGCGCGAGAACAAACTGTACGCAAATTTGAAGAAGTGTGTCTTCTGTGCTCCCGAGATTCCAGTTCTTGGATGCTATGTTAGCAAGGAGGGTGTCCGTGCTGATCCCGAGAAAGTGTCATCGATATGTTCCTGGCCTACGCCCAGGAACCAAACGGAACTACGCCAATGGCTTGGCTTGGCCAATTACTTGCATAAGTATACGAAGAACTATGCAGAACTAATCCAGCCACTATCGACTCTACTGAAGAAAGACGCAGTTTGGTCATGGAAAGCTGAACATCACTCTGCCTTCAACTCTGTGAAAAAGAGCTTGTCTGAAGCACCAGTGCTGATGTTGCCTGATGATTCCAAGCCATTTCACGTCGTCTGTGATGCGAGTAATTTCGCTATTGGATGTGCCCTCATGCAGTTTGACGATGAGGGCCGAGAGCGCGTCGTGAGCTTTCAGTCACGACAGATGAAACCCGCAGAGCGGAACTATCCGGTACATGACAAGGAACTTTTGGCTATGCGTTACGCGCTGATCAAGTTCAGAGTATATTTGCTCGGCGAGAAGATGTTTTCGGTCTATACAGATCACGCATCATTGCGTACCGCCGTCAAGACTCCCCACTTGTCCCAGCGTATGGCACGTTGGTTGTCATACTTCTCAGAGTATAATTTCGTGGTCTTTTACAAACCCGGCAAGAACAACATTCTTGCTGACGCGCTTTCTCGACGTCCCGATTATGATCCTCGACGTGACATGGGTCATCAGCCAGGCATTGCTGAAGACGAGGACGACGACATTTGTTTATGCTGTGCTGAGCAGGGGCTCAATGCAATGTTTTCGACACCTGAGCTGTCAATCCGGACTCAAATCGCTGAGTCATATGCGAACGATTCATTCTACACGGGAATCATCAATTATCTTCGACACCCTAGTGAGGGTTCACTCGCGAAGTTGACGAAACCAACGCGTGACAACATCAAGCGGTACGCGCTTGATGGTCCGCTGCTGACTTATACAATGGACGTTTTCGACCCACCGCGCGTCGTCATCCCTGCTGATGACGACCTCCGCGCACGATTGGTGCATGAATTTCATGACACTCCAACTGGTGGTCATTTGGGTTGCGAGAAGACGTTCGCGGCCATCTCTCGCGTGTTTTTCTGGCCGCGTATGTACAAATACATCCAGAAATGGGTACGCTCTTGTGAAATATGCCAGCGTGTGAAGCCTGAGCCGTCTTCACAAGCTCCATTGCGTCCGCTTCCGATTGCCACGGAAGCCTGGCGTTCGGTCAGCATGGATTTCATCTTTGGTCTCCCTCCGGACGAACAGAAACGCACGGGCGTATTGGTTTTTGTGGATCGATTTAGCAAAATGGTGCATTTTGTTCCAGTCTCCGCGCACGTTACGGCGGAGACGACCGCGCAGATCTTCATCGATCTCATATTTCGACATCACGGCTTGCCTGAATCAATTGTTTCGGAACGCGACCCGCGCTTTACATCAGCTTTTTGGGCAACGCTGTTTCAACTATTGGGCACGCGACTGCTTATGTCTACGGCAGCCCATTCAGAGACGGATGGGCAAACGGAGCGCTTGAACAGAGTGCTTGAAGATGTACTACGCAGTTATGCGACATCGTTCCTGTCGTGGAGTTCGTTTCTCCCTCTCGCTGAATTTGCAATCAACAACGCAATTCATGCGTCGACTGGGTTAACGCCATTTTTCGTGAATAACGCGAGGCACCCTCGCGTTCCAGCGCTTCTTGCTCTTTCAGCTTCAGCACACCCAGTTTCTCAGCTTGGTGGGGGAGTATCTCCCGATGACACTACGCGAAAAATTTTGATGATTGGTAATGTTGAAGACAAGGTTGCTGCCGATGCAACTCATACTGTTAATTTCGTGGCCAATGGCATATCGAGTCCCGACGCGATGCATCCCATCGCGTCTCCCGTCGCTAATTTTGCTCCTAAAGAGTCCACTTCTCCTGTAAGGTCGGCTGCTGTGACCGAATTCCTATTACTACGGCAAAGTATCACGCGTTTTGTACGCGATGCACTCCAAGAAGCAGTGGATAAACAAAAGGAGAACGCGGACAAGCGAGGTCGAAAGAACTTGCTGACGTTCAAAGAAGGTGACAGAGTCTTACTATCGACAAGCGGATTACCAGACACGTCAGTAACGAATTTGGGCGCTAATAAATTAGCGCCAAGATATATTGGGCCCTTTCGGATTGTTGAAGTCCATGGAGATGCTTACACGCTAGACATACCTACCACTATGCGTTTGCACCCGACATTCTATGTCGGGCGCCTTAAGGCTTACCTGCCGGCGGATCTCCCTTTGGTCCTTCCTCACTCGTCTGTATCGGCTCAAAGTCCGACACCCCCTGCCGACGACGCTGACGACGACTGGGACCAAGTTCTAGACGAGCGCGAGCAGACTCGTTCTGCTGGGGTCCACCGAGCGCAGCAGTCTCGAGCTGTCGCAGACGCTCCACCAAGCCCTGCTGCTCCCGTCGGGTTCTCTCGGCAGCCTCTGTCGCAGCTGCTGCACGATCTCGAGCCCTCTCGGCCATCTCACGGGCATCCAGAAGGCCGTTCATCGCCTCTTCAGTGTCAGCACGAAGGAAACGAAGCTCGTCACTCGACGGCACAGGCGCCCGATTATGAGAATCGGCGCCCAACCCAAGAAGCCTTCCGTCGTGAAGCTCCTCCTCCCTTGGTAGATGCATCGGGTGAGCGACGCTGGATTGTGGACCGTATCGTCGGTCATGAAGACCCCACGCCTCTTGCGCCGAGTAGTGGCTCGGCGCCATCGAAGAGTCGTTCAGAAACGCATTACAAGGTCCGATGGTTGGGTTATTCACCAACGGAAGACACGTGGGAGCCTCGAAGTATGCTGGCTCACGATGTTCCTGACGTCGTTGAGGAGTACGAGACCAGTAAGAGGTCGGCGAACGCGACCGACGCTGCTGACTCCTTCCACGATCCCGCGAACCGTAACGTGCGTGAATTGGCGATCGACGACGATCTCCCGAGCGACTCCGACGTCTTCTACGAGGCTCGGGAGCATTTGGATACCTTGACGGTCGAGAGCGACTACGAGAACGACCTCGGTGGTCGTAAGACAAACGATCTCGACTACGTGAACGCCTCCATTGATCGACAGGGCGTTCCCTCATGTGACGCAACGCAGATACTTGGAGCTCTGAGAGGCTCCTCTCATAGCGTCCGATCCATGGTCGGATGTGCTGGGGCATTCCCCGTGCACACACCATGTCGTCCCATTCCTGCCGCATTGGTCGCGGTCTCTCCATGTGACACCGTGGACACCCTTCACGGACATGGACGTAACACATGTGGAACCCATCACGAGTCAAATGACATACGCGTCGTCGTAAGTCGCCAATAGAGTGGTCGCCATGAGTACTTTCGCGTCCCTCGATCCAGGACGTGAAGGATGCCCCTTCACGTCGACTCGCGTTCCAACGTCTGATGAAGGCACACCAAGATCGTTGTAGTGCGTCTTCAGTGTATGTGTGATTCGTTCCCTTGCCTCGAACGTTACGGTATCGTGTGAAGAGATTCTTCATGGTCTCAAGTGATTCAGGTTGGTGCGCGCCTTCAAGGCTGTACAAGCCCCACGGCTTCAAGTCGTCATCCATGGTTTGCGGTGCACGCTCTCTTCGAAGTGTCTGATGACCCCAACTGTCGTTTGGGGTTGAGTCGCGTGGGTGTTCAGGATTCATGCTGCTCAGTTGTTTGTGGCTGAGCAGATTCGAAGACCAAGATGACGTGTCGTTGGAGTTCTCGTTGGGCTTTTCGTTGGACTATTCGTTAAGAAGAAACTTTCTGTGTATGGCGCTTACGTCACGGTAAGCGCAACTTAAAGAGGGGGGTGATGTAATGGGGCAACCCATTATATTAAGTAGTCATAGTTTTATTACATAATTACATACATTAAGTGTAGGCAGTATCCGGATAGCGGATACTGCGCGTCTATTTATTATTGGTTTATTATTGGGGTGCCAGACCCAATAATTAGCCAATAATAATTAGTTCTGTATTTGAGTGGTTCCCATGAGCTAGGGAACATATTCGCACTTACTGCGAATTATAAAAACACAAAAATACAGAGTTAAATTTACCTTATAAATCACAGCGCTTCCTCAGCTTAATTATTAGTGTAAGACGGTAACGGGCTCTCACCCCGTTACATCTTCGACTCCCCTATACTTGGAGATGTCAATCTTCAAGGTCTCGGGTCGACGCGAGTGCATCGACCCACCAGCAGCAGCCTGCTGCTGTCTCAACAGTTCAAAATGTTGAGCACCCTGTTCTCTCAACAACTCTGCTTGTTGAGAACCTTGTTGGTGAAGCAAGGCTACTTTCTCGCGTTCAGCGTCAAGTTCATTTTGAATAAACTTGGCGATAGTAGCATGTTGGGCATCTCTATTGAGAGCCTCTAGCATGACGCTAACAGCATGGATGCCCATGGTTGAACCCATCCGTTCAACCGCATCCCATTCGACATCGCTCAAATGGGAGTAGCCGTCACGCGTAGCGTGAAAGCTTTGGTCATCTTCGTCATCTAACATATTCCTGTTAGATGTGAATGTGGTCCTTGGACGGACTACGAAGTGCTACTAGGTGTAACGGGGCACCCTGAAGCTTGTACTGGTAACAGTACAAGCTACTTATTCTGATGACAGAATAAGGCGGTGCCTCGGAACTTCACGTACACTGGTACGTGCAGAGGAAGACGGTAAGAAGAAGCGAGTACTTGCTTAAAGTAAAAAGTAGAACTGTATTTAGCATAGTTAATGTCTGTTAATAAATCACTATTATCCTCATCTAACTATGTCTGAATACAAATGTGCATATCAACTATCTGCTCACCACTCATTGCGTGCGTCCGTCGTGGCGCGTCTTCGTTGGTTGATATAATGGCCTATATCAACCAATTAGGAACTACTCGTAAGTGCTACAGAATATTTGTCCCTATGACAATATTCTGAGAATATAACTCTTATAGTTATATTCTATTAACGATTTCTAATAAACTGTTATGTAACGATTCACCCCGTTACAATACCCTTCCGTCTGTTGTTACAGTTGCTGTTTCTGTTGCTTTTCACTTGAGACGGAACGCATCAGACTCAGTTGAGCCGCACATACAATTCAGCTCCCAGCGAGGATATCTTGATTACCACAACACTATATTACAAGTGCATGAATCGTTCGGGTTCGTGTGTGTCGTCGACAACGTCAGTATCTTCATTGTGACGATACGATGCTTTCTAGCAATTTTAGCTCCAGCACCTCCACTGATTTCAACAAGCACTGAATGGCGAGAATTGTAGCGCTTGCGCTGCACCTCTGTACGTACCATCATGTCGTGCGACTATTTTTGCTGGAGTAGGCATAGTAGGATTCATAGATGTGGCGACGACAGGCCGTTGACCGCGGGGTGTCAATACGATTTGGCTCGCTCTAATACGAAATACCGCAGCAATAGAAGAGGGGGTAGAAGAAAACGGTAGAGTAACAGAGCTGGTTGAGTCAACGCTTGTTGTGTCACCGTCAGCAGTCGCCGTGTACGCTCTTCTTCTGGGTATGCTTATCGTTAGCATGGATGCAAAGATGGCGGCACGGTGTCTCTGGTATCCGGTTCAAACAAGCCATTTCAAACGGCAACATCCGCTGTCAAGCTCAGAGATGTTGGAGTCGAGAGATCGTGTAAGCTGGAGGAACCTGTATCAAATGATGAAGAAGGACGTGGTGCTGGCGACGCGGACTCTTGGCTATAAAGTCGTCTCGTTGCAATTTCAGTTCAGCTTCATTCAATTACCTGGAATAAAGATTAGTCTTCACGTCGATATGACGCGCCAACTCTTCCGTCTCCAGCCCATCCAATGAAATGAAATGTAATGTCCTTCAGCGTATCAAACGAACTTTCCCCATGGCACACGCACGTGTCAGCGTCAGCGTGTGCGACTCGCCTCACTCGGTCGTCCAGCGAGCAATTGCCGGCCAACAATTTACCGGTACTGCACAACAAACACAGCAAACAATCGGGAGTCATTAGTTATGCATGAAAAGCAGCAATACAGCCAGGAAATTATAGAGAAGGAGAAAAGGAGTACCTTGACAAAGCCAATGTCCGTGGCACGCTCACGGAAGCAGCGACGACAGATGTTCAGGTTGTACTTGCGGATCAACCCACGAGTGGTCTTGCACACGCGGCAGTGACGCGAGTCCTTGCCATAGGCGCGGGGGTGGGAGTATGTGAGGTTAGCCATGGTTACAAACTACAGCACGACACAATCAGCATCGCGTCAGTCTCTGCATCAAGTGGCTTGGAGGCATTTAGTTTGGGTACACAGGATAGTCAGGCTCGAGGTCTAGCGGAAGCTATGGAGAAGCTGGTCACTCTTATTGAATAGTGATGTATCGCTGTAATGCGCAAAAAGCGTTCCTCGGCCCCGTCGTTATCGCTACTGCTGTAGCTGCTAAGCAACTTGTACCCAATCTTCCACCGATCTGTCTCCTACTCCAAGTTGACCCGAGCCCTCAAGAAACGTGCTTCTTGTTTGCTTACCTTCTTCTTCGATAGCTTTGGACAGTAGCAAATAAAGACATTCCCGGCGACTCGTCGTCGTGTCAACCATTGCTTCGAGAACCACTCATCTATCGAAGCGAGTTTTGACCAATGTACGGCCAGTAACACACGCTTTTTAACAACTCATCTGGCTCAACAACAAAGTCGTAATTAGGGTTCGATAAACGGTGTTTGATGTGCTCCACATCAGCTTGTCGAGTCTGGCATGACGGCAACATCACAGTCAAGAGCGCCTAGAACTGTCGTTAGGCGTCATTGCGTCACGCCGATACTCACACAATCGTTGCCACTTGACTACCACTGAAAATCGTATTTACAGCTACAGTACCAGTTGTCGTATCCAAGACGTCGTCGAATCACTCCCCAACAAGTACAGCATAACTAGCCTAGTCCCACATAAGATCCAAAACGCATTTACGACAGCGCGGCCATATCATGCATGCAAAGCTGTAAGACTCAGTATACGGTGACTAAGCTTTCTCCCGCACGAGTCGTTGTTGTATTCGGACTCGTAAAAACGAACAAACAAAACATACGATCGCGTAATTACGCCACAGCACTCGACTGCCACGTGCCAAGTGCTCTCCTCTAAACAAACTGCCCAGTCATAGTGACGGTCACTCGCAATGGCACCGAAAGCCAAGCATCACAAGGCAGCAGCCGCCCCCGTCGCCTCGGACGTCCATGCGACGCCAACAAGCAAGCCCGTGGTCGAGCCCGATTCCACTGGACAGTTCGTATTTGGCGTCAATCTGGACGATCCACGCGATGTCGAGGACGACGACCACGTGCTCGTTCCCGTCGCCAAGTTCGCTATCTTGGCAATGATTTGTCTCATGTCGTTTGCCATTCGGCTCTTTGCGGTTGTGCGCTACGAGTCGGTAAGGTTCTTTTTCTCTCTTTCGCTTCTTTTTCTTCTTTTTTCTTCTTCGATTTTTTCGCACAGAAAACTTTGAATCAGTTCAATAAAACGCTATGCGTGCCATGGATTAACTCATGTATCTGTTTTCGCAGGTGATCCACGAGTTTGACCCGTACTTCAACTTCCGCACGACCAAGTACTTGGCGTCTGAAGGGTTTCTCGAGTTCCTCGACTGGTTCGATGACCGGGCGTGGTATCCGCTCGGTCGGATCATTGGGGGGACTATCTACCCTGGTCTCATGTACACGGCCGCGCTCATCTACTGGGTGCTCAACTTGCTCAACATCTCCATCAATGTGCGCAACACGTGCGTGTTCCTCGCACCTCTGTTTGCTGCCAACACGGCCATTGCGAGCTACTTGTTGACCAAAGAAATCACTAAACGATCGAGTGCTGGTCTCTTGGCCGCTGCTTTTGCTGGAATTGTCCCGTCCTACATCTCACGCTCAGTGGGCGGCTCCTATGACAACGAAGGTGTCGCGATCTTTGCGCTCATCTTTGTGTTCTACCTCTGGATCAAAGCCGTGCACACGGGCTCTATGTTCTGGTCCGCAGCTTGTGCGCTCGCGTACTTTTACATGGTCGCCGCGTGGGGCGGCTACGTCTTTATCATCAACATGGTCCCGATCTACGTACTCGTGATGCTCTTTGCAGGCCGCTACTCGCCGCGTCTGTACATTGCCTACTCGACGTTCTACACGCTCGGCAGTCTCATGGCGATGCAAGTACCGTTCGTGGGCTTCAATGTCATTAAGCAAGCCGAGTGCGCGGGCTCGCATGGAGTCTTTGTGCTGCTGCAGGTGTACTGCTTTGTCAACTGGCTGCGGACGTACATCTCGGCCGCATCATTCCGTCGCCTCGTCATCGTGGGTGCCGGTCTGCTTGTCTCGGGCTTCGCGCTCGCGCTACTGGTGCTGCAGCTCATGGGGAAGGTGCAGTGGACGGGTCGCAGTCTGACGCTGTTGGACCCCACGTACGCGTCCAAGTACATTCCCATTATCGCTTCAGTAAGTGAACACCAGCCGACGACGTGGACATCGTACTTTTTCGACCTGCACATTCTCGTGCCTTTTGCGCCAGTGGGTCTCTATTTTCTGTTCCAGAACTTGACGGACGGCGGCATTTTTGTCATCTTGTACGGCACGGTGGCGTGGTACTTTGCTGGTGTCATGGTGCGTCTGATGCTCACGCTGGCGCCCGTTGCTTGCATCCTTGGTGCAGTGGGAATCTCGTCGACAATGCGCAAGTTCATGGGTATTCTCGCTCGTCCATCGACATTTGTTGTGCTGCCGAACGGTGTGCAGCCTGTGCCGAAGATCTTGGCTCTGGGTGTCGTTTCTGGCCTGCTGCTTATGCTGCTGAGCTATAGTATGCACGCAACGTATGTGTCTTCGATGGCCTACTCATCGCCGAGTATCGTGATTGAAGCTGGTCGGACGCGCACGGGTGAACGCGTGAACTTTGATGACTACCGCGAGGCGTACTTCTGGCTGCGTCAGAACACGGATGCAGATGCCAAGATCATGTCGTGGTGGGACTATGGCTACCAGATGTCGGCCATGGCAAACCGTACAGTCATCGTGGACAACAACACGTGGAACAACACGCACATTGCCACAGTCGGTCGCGCTTTGGCTTCTACAGAGGAGGAAGCCTACCCGATCTTGCAGAGTCTGGATGTGGACTACGTCCTGGTGATTTTTGGCGGTGTGACGGGCTACAGCTCGGACGATGTCAACAAATTTCTGTGGCCTGTGCGTATCGGATCCGGCGTGTATCCGAACGACATGCCTTCAGAGCGTGATTACTACTCAGCGTCGGGCAACTTTGACATCGGCCCCGGTGGCTCGAAGGTGCTTCACAACTGTCTCGCGTACAAGCTGTGCTACTACCGCTTTGGTGAGGTGAGGACGGACTACCAGCACCCGGCTGGTTTTGACCGTGCCCGTAACACTGAGGTGGGTATCAAGAACATCAAGCTGACGCACATGGAAGAGGCCTTTACGTCTGAGCACTGGATCGTGCGTATCTTTAAGGTGAAGAAACCGTCCAATGTGGAAGCCACGACTGCTGTCAAGAAGGCGCGTTTGTCGGAAGCATCGGCGCAAGAGAAGGATATCTCTAATGAGAAGACGCGCTTCTTGGGCTGCACCACGGGCGAAGACATGCTGGGCAATGACCGTATCTACACTGGCGGATCCAGCGGTGCCAACTACAACCTTGCTCTGCATCACGCGAAGGAGAAGGGCAAGCGCTACTTTGCGATCGCGCGTGTAGCCGGTGAAGGGCACGCGTTTGCGTTTAACAAGCTTCCCGTGAACCAAGCGGACATGGACGGCAACGATGAGGGGTGCAGACGCCCATGCCAGGACTCGACTTCGCACTTTTGCGGCTGTTCTGATGGTGGCTGCACGGACATGAATGTGGACCCAGGCAAGGGTCAAGAACACAACCGTCGTTGGGCCATCTATGAGCGTCAGGCACAGCAAGCGTAAAGGGTGGGCGCGTGAGTGGTGGTAGTCTTTAGCTGTACGGGCCTCGTTCGGAAACTGTAATGAAGGTGAAGGCAGGGAGGGGAGGGGAGGAGGTAGGAGGCAGTACAGATGATGATGATGATAATGGCAACGTCCGTGCTCTAACGTAGTCGAGTTTAGTCGGTGGATATGGACAGCATCAAAGCAAAACAAATGCGCCGCACGTGTTTACCAAAAAATGAATAATGCTGCCTAGTCTGGGGTCTACCAAGCAAGAAGAGGTCAACCCGCTGACTGTTCAACCGCAACGCTCCCGCACGATCGCATCTTCATTCTCCTCTGGCCGCTGCATCTGTCTCGATCGCATCTTCATTCCCCTCTGTCCGCTGCATCTGTCTCGATCGCATCTTCATTCCCCTCTGTCCGCTGCATCTGTCTCGATCGCATCCACCTACGCAGACGACTTGCTCTCGCCGCTGGCCTGGCGAGCTGCCTCCTTCTCAGCTTCGATCTTATCGCATAGCTCGTTCACCTTGGCATCCTCAAGCGGCTGCACACGACAATGTCAACAAGGCCCCAAGCTCGCGTCAGTCCCTCAATCCGCACAAGCAAGAACACTCATCCACAGCCGGACCACACGGACAAACAACGAAGCAGATCTACAGCCAGTGAAAACCAAACTCACCGCCACGTTGCCGTCCGCTCCCACAATGACAATCTCAATGTTCTTGCTGCCGGCCTCCACGACTTCCAGCAGCGCCTTCGTCGCAAGCGTCACGGCCTCTTCGTCCGTCGCCTTCTCGACATAGTGTTTCTCGAGGAACTCCCGGATATGAACCGAGTTGCGGCCCGTGGCGTTGGCTTTCCAGGCCGAAAACGTGCCCGACGGGTCCGTCTGGTACAATTGCGGCACGCCTTCGTTATTGCAGCCAGCAATGAGCATCGAGATGCCAAACGGCCGCACGCCGCCTCGTTGCGTGTACTTTTGCTGCACACGTGCCACATACCGCGCGACGTACTCGACGGACGGCGCGTCTTCGACCGTCAAGCGGTAGCTCTGACACTCGAGACGCGCCTTGTTCACGAGCACGCGGGCGTCAGCGGTGAGACCGGCAAAGGCGATCGATATGTGGTCGTCCACTTGGCAGATCTTGCGGACCGTGCGCGGATCCTGGAGCTTGGCCGTTTCCTTGCGCTCGACAGCGAGCACGACCGAGTGCTGGCCACGCACGCCGACAGCTACGGCTCCCTAGAGACAATGTAGCCATGAGGGTGGGGTATACGTATACGAGACAACACATGGTAGTCGAGAGTAAGTGAAGTGTAGGCAGCCGAAATCACGTATACACTGGTCCAGGAGGGATGACGTACTTTTTTCACGGCTTCCATGGCGTATTCCACTTGGAACAAATGGCCATCGGGCGAGAAGACGGTGATGGCGCGGTCGTATCTGGACAGTAGAGGACAAAGAGGTGTGAGAGAATAGATAGAGAGAGAGAGAGAGAGAGAGAGAGAAGGGGTGGAGCGTACCTGGACATGGTCTCGTCTGGTCTTGACTTCGGGACGTGCGTATCTAAAAAGCGCTCGCGTGGTGATGGCTTTTCGAAAGGGGAGGCGGTGGGTTTTGCCGGATGAAGATAGAAACGGTTTGCATTGCTTCGGTTGTGGGGAAGACGGGCGTGATAGAAACGGTAGATGAAGTGGAAGGATTGATATGATGTGATGGGAGAATGTCCAGATTGATATAGAAATCGGCAGGTCGGGGTCGTGTGATGTTGATTATGTAGCGACGGACAATGAACGAGATGGGAAGTCAGTAGCTGCGTTGTAAGAATGCCGTATAGTGGCGGTAAAGGTATTTCTTATGTATGATGGTATGTCGGTATTGGGTACAGCTAGCTGTAGGATGAGAGAGAAGGGGTATGTCGACGTGCTAAGTAAGAAACGGTATGATACGTGACAACGCGAGATGTCAAATGATGCGTTTGACTGCGCTGAGCGCTTTAACCTCTGAAGCTGCAACATATTCCGGAGACAAGGGAGATGTGATTTCTCTCATGACAAATGTCCCATGTCCTCAATCAAGACTCGATATGACCTGCTTTATATGAATAATTAGCTCAATTGGTAGAGTATTTCGTTTACACCGAAAATGTTAGCGGTTCAAGTCCGTTATTTTAATATTAAAAGAATTAATAATAAATATATTATTATAGTAGTAATATTTTTAATAATCAAATTTTTTTTGAGCATTTTGATTTTTTTTTATAAAAAACTCCAAATCATAATAAAATTAATAAAATAGTTGTTAAAAAAAATTCTGGAATAATAAGTTCAAAATTATTATAAAAATTTTTGAGCTTATTATTCCAGAATTTTTTTAGGTCAAGAGCCGATCCGTCAAGTAAGAAACGATATACCGAAGACATCGTGAGCTTTGACAAAGAACCGGTACTGTCCGTTCCTCCGTCACGATAGAAACGCAAGCTCGTTCGTCATTAACCCATTTCAATGCATCACGAGCTCTTCCTGGCGCTTCTAGGGCACACTGGCGACGTCGTGGAACGTCGTGTCGACGGGTTCTTCGTGCGCGCCGACGCTCCGTTTCTATCACAAGCGCAACGCAGTGTTCTGAACCAGCTCCTGCCACTCGGATGGTCGTTTTCGAACTTAAACGAATTCATTCGGGTCGCGCCGCAGCTCCCAAGCGTCTACCTCCACGCAGTAACTCAAGCACTCGAGCGGTTTTTGTACCGGTATACCGACGCAATTGTCGCACTGGAAGCCAAGACGTTGCAAGCCAAGGCTGTGGGTCCCTTGACGAGCGCTCTGATCGACCTCGACGAGTTTGTTGAAGTGCTGCCGCAAGTTGATCGACTCGTGCAGCGACTGGTAGGGACGCACCAACAAGTTAACTGGAAAGAGCATGTGACATGTGTGAAAGGTGCCGAGCTCCTGAGTCTTGTGTATGGAAGCTCGAGATCGGGGTTTCCACGAGTGCAGAAGGTCATGCGAGAGCTACTGCATTGCTGTCATCGGTGAGTGCACTGAGACCACGTTATTGTGGTTGTTGTAGTTGCTAGTGTTGCTACTGTTGTTGCTGCTTTTGTGTTGTTGGGTGGGGACGAGTGCTAATGACGAGGTCGGTGTGCATTTGTTTATTTGTTTGCTAGAGTTTTGTTCAAGCAAATGATGACGTGGATGGTGCATGGTGAGATTGTGGACCCGTATGGAGAATTTTTCATCAAGAGAAAACACGTGAACGCGGAAGCGACGAAGAAAAACACGGTGTCGTCGTGCAACATGCAGGACAGCAAGACGGCTGCGATATTGTGGCATCAGCAGTTTGTGATCGACTTGGAGGCCGTACCGCTGGAGTATTTTCCCACGTCGGTAGCAGAGAGTGTGTTTGTGATTGGCAAGGCTGTGCAGATCTTGACACGAGCGAACCAGTTTTCCCCGCGCGAGGTGCACGATATCGTCGTGTTCATGTCTGAGTTAGCACAGCGTCCTACTTTTGACGTGGTAGCAGTTGAGCACGAGGTGGAAAAAGTGCGTCGTCATGTTGCTAGCAGACTGCATCAAGAGGTGGTAGTCAAGTCGGACTTTGTTGGGTATCTGCGCGCGCTGAAAGGATTCTTCCTGCTGTCCCGCGGAGAGATATTTCAGACTTTTATTGAGCGTAGTTTCGACATGATGCTTGTCAAGCCAACGATTCGGTCGGAAGAGGACGTGAACCATGGCATCTGGCGAGAGGTTGTGCGGAACTTGATACCACAAGACGAACCTTGGAGCCAAGAATTCGATATGCAGGTTTGTCAAGCACCAATCGGTAACCTTCTTGAGCGGCAACTCATATCTTGTGATGTAGCTTCCGCTCCAAACGTTCAAACTCGCGGACTTCTCGTCAACTGATGGTCTGGTGGTATTCAATGTTTCACGAGGACCACAGGGCAAGTTTTCGGCAAAGAACTTGGCCACAGAATCGACTGACGCGCAAGCAATGTCTGAAATGGAAGAAAACAGCACCGTTTGGTGGCACCACGCACAGGTAGATGACGACTCTTTTTCTTCCGAGCTTGCTTTGCAATGGGAGCCCAGTGCATTTTGCAGCGGCAGCCATCGCGCAGCTCTTTTGCTCCGAAACGAAGGCCAACTGGGCTCGGCGGCGTTAGTCAATGGATCATTCGAGCTCGATGATCCGCATGCATCGTACGTCAGCGTGGACCTTGCGATCGAACGTCTGCCAGGCAACACGAACGCGATGCGTGTGATGGCTCAAGTAAAACCATCGTGCGAACGAGAGAGCGGCATCCCGCCTTCACCTGTTGTAGAAATCTCCATGGCTGATAGCGCCGCTCCAGCAGTCCGGGTTTGTATCCACTATGCCCGCCGAGAAGTTACAGTGGCATCGTCGGCGCAGGTCCTGTACAAGAAGACGATGGTAGTACTCATGAATGACGTGCTGGTTTTAGAGTCACCAATCGATCTGCAAGAAGTACTGAGGTTACATGCCACTGCCGGCGATTACTTCGTTGGAGTCGCATTTTCGTCACTCGTACGGCTCTCAAGCTGGCGCTTGGACAAGTTCTCGGCCAAATCAAGTTGGCGTGAAGGCAGCGGCGTCGATCGGATCGACCACAGCACGGCAGTATCACCGCGTGAGTTGTGGCGTACACTCAATTTGCGTTGCGCTGTAGAATGGCCACTGCAACTACTCGTGACACCGGACCTGTTGCGCTCCTATGGACACCTCTTTCGCTTCTGCTTTCAGCTGAAACGTGTAGCGCATGCTCTCGAACGAGCATGGAAAAGTAACACGCTGCGTTCGAAGCATACTGCCATCAATGGCGCAATCTTCGCTGCTGGGGCGCTACGTATCCGCATGAGCTTCGTCGTCCGCACGCTCGAGCTCTATTTCCAGGTATTCGTGATCGAGAGCAAGTTCCGCAAGTGCGTCGCGCAGGTTGAAGCGGCTGACGACTTTGACCGCGCGAAACGCGTGCACGAGACGTTCGTCGCAAGTGTCGTCAAGAGCTGCTACGTGCACTCGAAGACCGTTGCATCGGCGCTGAGGGAATTGCTGGGCTGCTGCTGGCAGTTTGCCGACTATGTGTTGACGCTCCAGCAGCAGAACAACCACGTCGCAGGGCTCTCGGTAGATCGCATTGCGTTGCTGGACCACGAGTTTCACCGCCGCTTTGAGTTTCTCTACAGCGTGTTGCAAGTATCCGAAGCTCGGGACTTGCTCTTCCTGCTCGACAGCAATGGATTTTTTGCCGCCGAAAGGGAACAGAAGAAGCAGCAGCTGCAACGGTAACAACGTCGAAGAAAAGAAGGAAGGATCGACTAATCGATCGAATGATCGATTGAGTACGTCTCTCACGTGATTTAGCGTCGCGAATGCCTCGGGTGCTCCTCTCTCTTGATCCGCCACTGGATGTTTTCTGGCCAGAAGGTCGCGAAAGGTTTGACAAGCAATGAAACGCGAACATAGAACGAACGTCTGTCCGCATTTATACCGCCCGCCTATCTGTCTGTCAAGCGAAGGACGAGCCAGTCGAGTCCTTACTACGACCATGTCCTATCCACTCATGGTCCGTAAAGCGAGGGGGAGAGGACTCACACCACACACGGATCCGTATGTACCTCTGCCGTACGTGCTCGGTCGGTGACAATAGTCCAGTTTATGCTCCCGATAGTCGGGCGCCGCGACTGTGCCGAGTGTATGTGTGTGTGGGACGAAAATAGCTTCGAACCGGCCCGTCTGTCCGGCCATGTCATGTCACGTCACGTCGTGTCACGTCTTGTCTGCCACTCTCGTTTCTGTCCCGTTCCAGCCATTCACGAGTCGAGCGTGGGGCGTAGTTTGGGTCAGTCGGTCGGTCTTTGTGCTCTTGTTTTGGGCGCTTTACTCCTCCCGAGACAAGCGGCTCAATAGTAGTCAACGCCGGTTGTTCAGTCAAGAACACCAGGAGCTCCGAAAGAACCAGCGATCAGAGCGAGTGTAACCCACGACCAGGCACGTGGGTCCTGTAAAGCTGGCAACGACCGCGTACACACTCATGGCGGACGCCACGCCCAAGCTGGAGCTCGAAGGTCGTGCCCCCCACCGGTCCATTGACGAAACAGACAGGATCGAGATTCCGTGGTCCGGGGGATTTAGGACGTGGCAATGGACGAAATGCTGGAAACGAGGACGAGAGTCCAGTGGACACAAGCGAGTCAACTCCAGTCGAGGAGGAGAAGAAGAAGACGAACGCAGTGCAAGTCGCGTCAGTGCGAGCTCGAGGCTGCACGCGCTCGACCAGCAGCAGCAGCTCAAGCAGCAGATTGCACACTACTCGACGATGCGCGTGCACATGAAGCGCGTGCAATTGTGTCTCGAGCGAGAGAAACGCAACAAGTTCTACAAAGAGTTGGTCGTCTACCTCGGCTTCTTGGCTATCGTTCTGGCCACGTTGTTGTCGCTGCCAGTTCATTCGCGGTTTGAGCAAAACTCGGCACTTGCGAGCACGTACTTTGAGGAACAAGTGACGCATGAGACGCCGTTGAAAACCTTTTACACAGTTGGCAGTGAGAGTGAAATGTGGCAGTGGATTCAGGGACCGATGGTGGCTCAGTTCTACGACCCGCCACTTCGGAATAATCGCGCGATTGGCAGCATCGAGATCCGATCTGGTCGTGTCAAAGGCACGCTCTGCAGTCAGACAGCAGGACGACAGGACGTTGTTATGTTTTCGGACGAGATTTGTTACCCTGCGTTCTCGAGTCAAAGCGAAATGAAAGAGCCGTACGGGAATGAAAGTGGCGTGCTGGGTGCGCAGTATCGGTGGACTGATGAACTGAGCAAGTTGCTACAGTCCGAGACATTTGGTCCAGGCTTTGTGAGCTACGGCGAGGATTACGGCCGCGGCGGATACGCGGTTTATCTGCCGCGTGACAACTATACTGCCGCCATCGTGTTGACCAAGCAGCTGAAAAGTGACTTTATTGGAGATGATACACGGTACTTGGTCTCGTCATTTGCGTTCTATAACGCGCGCAGCAACATTTTCTCACACGTGCAGGGGCTTTTTGAGCTGAGCAACACGGACTACATCGAGGTTACGGGAAGAGTCAAAAGTTTTCAGATTGCGGCAAGCTACAAGGACACGAAAGAGTTCCTGGAGGCCAACGCCCTCGTGATTGTCCTATTGGCTGCCACGCTACTGCTTGTGACTCGCGAAATCTCGGATTTGCGCAACTTTGGGCTGCGTAAGTACGCACAGTCTCTCTGGAATCTCTTGGATATGTTCCAGCTCGTGCTACTGATTGTATTTCTCACGCACTGGGTGATTTTCATTGTAAAGTCGGAAAACATCCGGGATGACTTGTATCGTGTTGGTGACATGGATTGCTCTGGTCCAGCCGACGACCAGGAAAGTGCGCGGACCTGTTTTGTCGATATAGAGCCACTGGCACGGCTATTCTGCACAGTCAACAACTATTCAGCTGCACTTGGACTCGTGTCCGTGGCGATCGTGTTCAAGTACTTGCGTCTGAATTCGCGCTTGAATTTACTGTGGCGTACGCTTCGCTTTGCAGCCAAAGACCTTCTCGCGTTTGTGATCATTTTCTTCACCATTTTCTTTGGTTTTGCAGTGATGGGATTTCTGACGTTCGGTACATTCGTGCGGCAGTACCATTCACTGTCTGCGTCGCTGGCAAGTTGCTTCCAGATGCTGTTGGGTGCGTTCGATTACGAAGAGATTCATACTGCGAATCCAACCATGGCTGCGATTTTCTTCTTCAGTTTCATGATCTCCATTTATCTCATTTGTGTCAACATGTTCATCGCTATTATGAGCGAGTACTACTCGTTGGCTCAGAATGAAAAGAAGGCCTTGGAAGAGAACAAGCGGCAGAACATCGTTGTTGATAGCAAAGAGAAGAAGGGAGATGAAGACTTTTACGATTCTCTGCAGTTTATGGATGTGGAGTATGATCTAGTTAAACAAGCTAAGAATTGCATCAATGCTCTGCGGGTACGAGTGAAGATGCCACCAGTCAAAGACGGCAAGTCAGAGCACCATACCGAGCAGCTCGTCGTACGCGGCTTCCAGCGGGTTCTTCTTGTGGACTATGACTATCTCATGTCGGAGCGAAAACGCCTTCAGCGGAAGTTTCGAGCTTGTGTGCATCTCGTCATGATCTGTGGTAACTTGATGCGGCAGAGCGACCCAGAATTCGCCTTGCAAGTGGAGATGGAAGTCGTTGGAGAGCGCCCGCGTCCTCGAGCCCATTCTGCTGAGTCGGTTGCTGATCTTGTCGAGTTTCCGGTCACCTACGTCCCTCTTTCATCCTCTCTAGCGAGCACTGTTGAGATTCTGAAGCGTTTGAAGCCAGGCATGTCTATCGAGATCGACGATGGTTCGCTAACGCGAGACCAGATCACACTCGAAGTGCTCGGAGACCAGGACGAATACATTCCGTCCGGTTTGGGGTACCGACAGCAGCCTGTGAAGATAGACGACAGCTACAGCGAGGCGACTGACGGATATCGTGTCCGCATCAGTGAAGGCGTCAATGGTGTTGAAACGAGCGGGAATCGCCGCAACGGCAAGTTTGGTCTGCGGCACAATCACCAAGCGATCGGTGGAGCAGATCACATTCGCGCATGCCGCGTGCTGTACAATGGTAATGTGTTGCTGGATGGCAATGAAACCTGCATCATGCCGCGCTCGACTTGGTTGCGCTACTTTGTTGAGTTCGTCGGGTGGGGCTACTTGAAGCGACATTTGACGTGCAAGCGTAAGAAGAAGAAAACCCACCGCCTCGTAACAGATGCTGAAGTGGATGAGCTTATTCAAGAAAGTTTTGTTGCACCCGGACGCGGTATTTCGTGCAGATTTGACGAGCTTGTGCGCAACTTCCGCATGTTCATTGCCAAGAAGGTGCATACGCGCCGTCTTCAAGTTCCAAACCTCGAGGACCGTATTTTCCAGGAGGTGATTACGTTCCTTGAACGATTTCCATCAGCTGTCACTCCTTTGGAAAAGCGTGAATTGGGTGGCTACAAGTACACGCCTCAACCGCTTGATGTGCGTCACATTCGATTGCCGCACTCGATCAACCTGCTGGCGGAGTTGTTATCTCAAAATGCACACGAAGTGTGGGCTGTGGGACGAATCGATCAAGGTTGGCGTTGGGGTCTCGAACGCGACAACGACTTGAAACTCCATCCTGATCTCGTGCCGTATGAAGCGCTGACAGAACAGGACAAGCAGTACGACCGTGACACGTCCATGTCGGCGCTCAAGGTCATTACCGCAGTAGGTTATGTGTTGGAGCCTCCATCCAGCAACACCGAGCTGTTGGACGCATTCGAGTTTGGCACCGCTGCAACTGAGCAAGGAGGCACGTACATCCCCAAGCCGATTCCGACGGAGGATGTAAGTGTACCTCTGCACCTCCGTTCCGTGATTGAGCTCCTGGCTGAAAACACGCACGAAGTGTGGGCACAGATGCGCATGGCGCAAGGGTGGAAATTCGGTCCGCGGCGTCACGACACAAAGAAGGAGCACGACGGACTCGTGCCGTACATTTACTTGACCCAAGACGAAAAGCAGATGGACCGCAATACGGCCATGCAGACCGTGAAGCTGATTCTGCGCTTCGGGTTCACGTTTGTGCACAAAGACCAGCGCTCCCGTGGGGGCAGGAGGAACCCCTCGAGTCGTATCAAGGTCGTCGGGCGCAATGAGAACCCCGAAGCGCGCAATGTCAAGGAAGCTGTGACAATGGCCAGAGGTGCCACGCGAGCGAAATGCGCCTTCATGGGTCGCGACAGTCCGTTTGCCGCTCCTGGCAGATCGTCGTCGTCCCATCTCTTCTCCAGCTCCGCTCCAGCTCCTGAACCAGCAGCGGTTGAAGCTCCAGAGCCTCGAGATTCATCGGATGATGCACGACCAATAGCTCCAGCTCCGTCGTCGGGTGTGACCGCTGCGTCTTCGGGGGATCGGACGACGCTGCTCGCTTCAGCTCCGTCGGTTTCTTCCACCGAGGAGTCATTCGGAGACCGATAGGATAGCAAACAGTCAGTACAGCCATGCACACACACACACACACCTGTCTTGATCGAGTGTACCCTTATTAACGGGTCCTTTTCTTCTGCCGGTCCTTTTTCGTCACGCTCAGACCATGTCGTTCACACCCTGATCGCTATCGCTTTTTGACTCGAATCAGATCCAGAACGTGAACAAAATAAACACCCACCCATCCATCCATCCACACACCCACCCTCACGACCCACCAACTTTGCACGACCAGCCAGCACCGTGCGTACGTCCACGTGTGTACCACCCGCTCAAGTGTACGACCAAAATAACGCACGCCTCTCTCGATCAAAAACACCCACTCACCCACCCACCCACCATCGCGTCGCCTCTCCCCTCCATCCGCTCGGATTACGGACCCGGATCCGCCATGCAGTCGCCTCCCGCCCTCCACGTCGACGCGCGCGACGTCATCCGCCTCATCCTCCAGTTCCTGCGGGAGCACCGTCTGTTCCACGCCCTGCGCGCGCTCCAAGACGAGACCCACGTGGCACTCGACGCCGTGGACTCGGTCGAGTCTCTCATTAGTGATATCACTAATGGGCGCTGGGACCTCGTGCTGCAGCAGACCCAGACCCTATCGGTCGCTCCTGCGGTTCTCACAGACCTCTACGAGCTCGTGGTGCTCGAGCTGCTGGACGCGCAGGAGCTGGACGTGGCCCACGCGCTGCTGCGCCAGACGCCGGTGCTCGTGGCGATGAAAGCAACGCAGCCAGAGCGGTTCAAGCGGCTGGAAGAGGGGAGGGGCGACATCTTGGGGAAGGGCGACATGTTGATGAAAAACGCGCATGGCGCGAGTCGACAAGAACGACGAGAGGAGGTCGCCCAGCTGATCCGCAGTGCAGTGTCGACGGTCGAGCCGTCTCGTCTGCTGGTGTTACTGGGGCAGGCGCTCAAGTGGCAAGAAGTGCAGGTGGGAATGTAAGGGGGTGGGGGTTGTTGTGTGGAGGAGGGGGAGAGAGGAGGGATGACGTGGAATTGTGAATTTTGGTTTTGTTTGGTGTTTTTGTTGGTAGGGGTTGATTGCGTCGGGAGAGGAGGTGGATTTATTCCAACAGGGAGGTTTGAAGCAGGAGACGGTGGATCGTGTGGAGCAAATCGTGCGGCGACCAGCGGGGAAGATGAAGTTCAGTCAGGCGTCGATGCCGCAGTGTGCGCAGTTCAGTCGGGATGGACGGATGCTCGTGACGGGGGCAAAAGACGGATTCGTGGAGGTCTGGGATGTCGACAAGTGCGCGCTGCGGAAGGACCTTGAGTACCAAGCAAAGGTAAAGGAGGTGTTGCTGCTGCTGCTGGACATACTGGATGGCGTGATGCGGACGTGGTGGTGGTGGTGGTTTTCTGTGCTGACTTGCTGTGCTTTGTGTGTTGGTTTGTTGCTACGCAGGACGAGCTGATGATGCATTCGGCGAGTGTAACAGCGGTAGTCTTTAGTCGGGATGGAGAGCTGCTGGCAACAGGCAGTGAAGATGGTTCTGTCAAGGTGTGGAAGGTTTCTACCGGCACGTGTCTGCGATGTTTTGACACTGCGCACACGGAGAGCATTCAAAGCGTCATGTTCTCACGGGATGGCACACAGGTGCTAACGGCTTCGTTTGATCATCTCGTCCGCATTCATGGTCTCAAGTCGGGGCAGACCCTAAAAGAGTTTCGTGGTCACCAGAGCTACGTCAATACAGCCGTCTTTACTTCCGACGACAGCAAAGTTCTTTCGACGTCGAGCGACGGGACACTGAAGATCTGGAACACAAAGACGACCGAGTGTCTGCAGACAATCGATCCGCCTCACGAGTCTTACAATACTGAAGTCGATGTCGTGAGTGCGTTGCTCATACCAAGCACGTCTGGAATGGGCGAGGATATCATCATATGCACGCGTGCGAGCAACATGTATCGTGTGTCCATGGCAGGAGACGTGGTGACGACATACAAAGGAGATCCTTTCGAGGACAAGAAAGTTGGCAACTTTGTTGCTTGTACGCTGTCGATGCGTGGCAAATGGTTGTACGGTGTGACCGACAAGGGGTTCATCGTGAGCTTCACCGCCGCAACAGGTGAACTCGAATCCTCTCTGCAGATTTGCAACGCCGATGCGTTCGGCATTGCTCATCACCCCCACCGCAACATTGTGGCGACGTATGGAAGTGACCGACGCGTTCGACTATGGAGAGCGTGAGGACACAACGGAATACCTTTATCTATTCGGGTGGCGCTGTCAACGCAGACACTGGCTCGTCGTTGAACGTATAGCGTGCATATCCACTCTTTGCAAGTAGTATACACCGACCACGACAAGGCATTACCACAACGAGACGCATCAAGATGAACGGTCGAGTCATGACGTCCGTCCGTAGCAGATTCAGCATAACGTTCGAGTCATGACGTCCGTAGCAGATTCAGCATAACTGTCAAGGACATTGCAACATTTGTGCACGTCAATCTAGCCACACTCGGTGCCGAAGCATGGCAATTTGGTCGTGAATGGTTGTCTATTATTTCTTGCTCTTCTTGCTCTTGCCTGCCTTCTTCTTTCTCCCTTGTGTCTGCTTTGTACACTCTTCCTCCAGTGCTAGTTCTTCGCCAAGCTGGTACGGCGACCGGAAAGAGGCTGAAATGTCGCTGGATGCAGTTGTGGCCAAGCCTTGCGTGCGAGAGCCGAATAGGCGCTTGACACTTTCGTTGTCAAACGTATCCCATAACGCTAGTACGCCCTTTGAGCCTCCAACTCCGAGCATGAACGGCGAGTCTTGGTAGAAAGAGAGCGCAAACAACTCGCCCTGCATACAGCAACAACAAATGCGATCGTCAAACAACCTTGTCACACAAAGGTATCTGCTACATCAACACGACAACGTACCACATTCATCTCCATCGAAGTGACACACACAGGAGCATTATCCTTGAGGTCCCACAGCTTGACTGTCTTGTCAACACCAGCTGTTGCCATCAAACCTGGCACCTGAGCAGAGAACGAAATCGCCGAGACGGTGCAGCTGTGGGCATTGAAACGGAACAGCGGGGACGATCCGTTCATCCGCACGTCAAAGCCTACTACAACCCCATCTTCCGAAGACGCGACAATCGTGCTCGGACTGTGCGGTATCCACGCCAGGCTCTCCACCTCGGCACTCAGCTGGAACTTAGAAAACGCGTCCGGCTTACGGCCGTCCAGCACCACGATCTGTCGGTCGAAAGAAGCACTTGCAAGCACCGTTGTTTCAGCCGGATTCCAGCGCACACTCTGTACCTTGTCACTATGGTGTGCCATGGTATACAAGCACTTTTGAGTCGTGATATCCCACACCTTGACGGTCGAGTCGGCCGAGCCGCTCGCCAGCATGTTTCGGTGGCTACTATTCCAATCCAGTGCCATTACAGCGTCCTGATGACTTCCAGGCTTGAGTGCCGTTGCGCGGTTCTTCCGTCGCTTCGACATCGTGGGCATGGCGACACCCCGGAGATCTTCATCCTGTTCACCACCCAGCGTCGCCGAAGGCTCGAGCACGTCCATGACATTGAGATCCCAGATTTCGATCCCAGTCTTAAACGTGCCAACTGCCACGTAGCTACCATCAACGGGTCCAGTCCTCGGATCCAGCGGCACGGGAGCGCAGTCCAGCCAGGCCATGCACAACGGGAACGCAGGCAAATTGATCTCGTGGTGCACGTAGAGAGCTCCATTTTCATCGTCGTAGACCTGCACCTCCAGAGTGCTAAAGTCCTCCTCCGTGTTGGCCACGAGGATCACACTGTCAGTCGGGCGGATCTCCACGTCTTCCTTGTCAATCTCCAGCTCATCGTCCTGATCCTCGTCCTCTTCCTCGTCCTCCTCGTTTTCCAGTGCCTCGTGCTCAGTCTCTTTCTCGTCCATAGCCACGTCCTCCACCACGTCATTGAGCTCGTCCTCGCCGTCCTCCTCGTCCTCGTCGTCAATTGCACTGGGCCCCGCGCTGCGGTCAATAAAGTTCTTGAGCGCTACATCGTCGTCCTCGTCGTCGTAATCGTCCATTTTGAACGAAAGTGGCAGCCCATTGCTGTCCCTTTCGTCCGGATTCGGACCCTCCTCTTCAGCTGCTGCCTCTTCCGCCTCTTCTTCTCGATGGGCGCGTTCCTGCAGCAGCTGAACTTCGCGGTCCGTGAGCACCAGTTTCTCTGGGAGGCGACGGGACGCGCCTTTGGGCACCCACGCGAGGGCGGAGATCATGGCGGCCACGGGAAGGACACGGGCGGGCGGGCGGTGCTGACGGACTGGCGAATTGAATGGACCAAAGCGTTTCGTGACACTCTGTTGCAGCGACCATCGATTTGGGAGCCTGTGGTAGCGAATGTGTATCCTGTATATGATCGTGGACAGGAGGTGTGGAGAGACGGGATTGAAGGCTGGCTGTGCAGAAAAAAAAACGCTGGAATGTCTGCACGGGATCGATAGGTCGTGCGTGAAAGAGGGGGTGAGGTCGATCAGGCTGTCCGAGAGTTCGTCCGGCTGGCTGAGTCGGACGGTTGGATCCGTACTTACCACGGGTGGGTGTAAGTATTGTTGAAGTTGTTGTTCTTGCGCTGCGACTTTCTTCGGAAAATCGACGTTGTAAGCCGATCAATGCCTGGAGTCGTTGTACCACTCATTGTCGATTTCGTAGCGAAGGTCAAGTCGGCTGTGCAAATTTGATCGGTTCAGGACCGACGCGACGTTCCAGAAAGGACACAGGAGCATGTCAGTTGGACATAAAGCGATTGTAACGTGCACATATTTTGATGGACGACAGTCAATTACCGATGCTGCTGCTGCTGCTGCATGCGTGCACGGAAGGATCGATCGTAGCGTCAGAAGAGTACGCTATTCTATGAATACATTGGTCGGTCAACTGGTTCCTTCCTTCCCACTGGGGTAAAGACCTACTCGGATGTATATCCCGATACAGTTTATCGATGGTGTCTCTTGTGTGCTCGCATACATGCTCTAGGTCGTGCATCCGATTACTTTGGAATTGCCGACACATTTCGCGCCAACGTATTTGACACACCCCAAATGTCAACTGCATCTGCGTACCCTGATCCAACACCGCCGTGACGATCACAGCTCGCACGATGCACAATCAGTTTGAGAGATTCACGGAGCCGCCACCAGCATGCATTCCACCGACTGGCACATAGTGACGTCAAAGAATAGCCGACACTATGCTTTGATGCCGAAAAAAACCCACTAAACCGGTCATCGGATTTGCCCACCCCGCGTTTCTCGCTTCCAAAACATATGGTCTTCCATCTGTTTGCTCAAGCGGTCTCGGAAATCGAAACATGCGTGCACCACATTAATAAAGCCACCCCGCACCCAAACCACGCAACAAAGCACTTTGTTCACTACTTCTTTTTAATATCTAAAGACAAGTCCGAAATCCGCGAGCCATGTCGACTAGCGACCGCCACGCGCGCGTGCGTCGCATGCGGACGCTGTCGGCGCTACTGGACGGAGATCCATACAAAGACGATGAGCTGTCAGAGGAGTGTCGTGCACTGTTCGAGCACGTGACGAAAGTCGCGACCACGGACCTCGAGTCCAGCAGCATCAAAAACGCTTTTTTATGCGTTGAGTGCCAGGCCCACGAGTCTGAGCTCTTTTGCGAACAATGTCACGACTATTTCTGTGCACTGTGCTGCGGCGGCCAACACCGAAAGGGCAATCGACTCAAACACACGTTCCAGCCTCGCGTTCCGACGCCAGGAGATGCAGTAGAAGCTCGAGGCGAGACGACCGACGTGGCCATGGACGCGACACGAAACGCCGTGGATGACTTTGTACGAAAAGTGCTTTCTTTGCTACTTTTTCACGACGAAAAAAAAAGAAAAAAGGGATTCGGTGGTTTATTCTGATGTCGTGGCGTTGGTGTTTTTTTCTGTTGTGTGTGGCTGTAGAGTAACGGGAACGAGTTTGATGGGGACACGAGTAGCAGCGAAGAGGAAGAAATTGTCGGAAGTGGTGGACAAGACACTATTCATCACAGCTCTGCTGCTTTGGCAGACGGAGCTCCTGCTTCTACTGCTATTGCTGCTGCTGACTGCTCTGATGAGGACGAGCCTGCACCACGTCGTAACGTGTGTAATTTGATGGGTCACTACTTGTTAGGGTACCCGTCGTCGCTTGATGCAGTGCACCTCACTGACGGTCATGCTACCGCTGCAAGTGATCTGGCTGCTGCTGAGATGCTGGAACGAGCCAAATACATTCCCGTGCGGCTCACATATGAAGAACGTAAGCTACTGCGTGCTTTGGAGGCAGCGTTGTGTGTAAGTTCCTACACAGACAAGCTGGATACGCCCACGTTTTTGCCGCCGGCCAAGCGTGTGCGTGCGCAGCTGCAAGATGTGTGTGGATTCCTGTCAGCGTTAGCTGTGGCATCAGACTACAAGGCAGGACAGGAGGTCCTGGACGAAAAAAACTTTGCCGAGAGCGCTGAGTTCTTCCAGGGAATATTTGAGCTGGGTAGACGGTACAAGATCATGAATCCAGAAAAAATGCGTGGCGAGTACGGCAAGCTGATGTACCTATTGCAGGACGCCGTAAGTCCAGAGCTGCAGGAGCTGCTGGGGTTCTCGTGCTTGCAAAAAATTCGCACTGTGTACGACGTGCTGGAAGCTGGTGGTGCTCTGAAGATGTTGCGTGATTCCCGTATTCAGACTGCAACGATGGTGGTTGCTCCCGAAGGCAAGTCGCGCTCTCAGATACAGCGTCAGATTAAGCAGAAGGAGCAGGCCATTCGGGCTTTGAGCGACAAATATGAAAGTCAACGTCTCACACGTGACACTCTGCAGCAATGTCTGTACTCGATTGCAGATAATAACTACCACCTGTATTTTGAGCGCGACCCGATCGATCGCATGATTGAGCTATTGACGACGCACTTCAGCCCAAGCGATGAGCAGGAAGATACTTCTTTGGCTATCGTGAGCGGCAATGACGGCGCCCGGTTATCTCATTCGCACGCTCGCCAGTACAACTATGTGCTTCAGTCGTTGACGCTGTGGCGCGAGATCGCGCACGATATGTTCCGCCTGTGGTACCTGACTGACGAGGACTTACTTGCCGATGGCACGCGGTACGAACTAACGGACACTGGTCAGGGTCTACACCGCATCCAGCCTGCGACACGTGTGTCCCGTGCCATGCATGTCATTCTTCATTCTACACAGCGCGATTTGGACTCGTGGGTAGGCTCAAGTGTTATCCATCTTGGAGACAAGAATGTTCCCAACGCGCTCGTGTTCATTGACAAGTACACACAAGTGGGGCACATTCTGCGTCCAATCGTCAAGGCAATCGATAGCATCGATTCGTTACAGCCGATCCAAGGATACGTAGACACCACGTTTGGTGGAGCTCCCAAGCTGAAACGTACAATTCTGGCCGACTTTTTTCGCGAAGCGTTTGACGGCAGTGGTGCCGACAACTTCTTTGAGGCTGGGTCATGCATTGATGGGCGACTTACGAGTGCCTGGAATTGGTGTTCCAATCTGCACAGAAAACCATTCTTTCCGATTTTCAAGATCGCAGGCTTCGTCGGCTTTGACGGCAAGTTTGGATAGATAAGCCATGTAAAACAAGTAGACCCGTTGCCATCTCGATGGTTTGAAGATCATTAATAGTAATCGTGCGATGTACACTTCGACGAACGATCTGGTTTGACAAACTATATCCCGTACTACTTCAATAAAGGAGCATTGAGCTCCAACATGATGTCGCGACCTCTTCTATCTTCTGGTCCAACGTGCTGCAAAAAAGCATCAGGTGAGCAGCGTCCGGCTTCACGTCCTTGGGTGCCGAGCACTCAATTCGGCCATGTTCCAGATAACGTTAGCCACCGGCTCAATTTCCTCATGCGCCGGCGGAAACGTTGTTCGATTTTCTCTTTGTGTTCGAAGTAATTGAGATAAAACTTCAGCAGCGACTTTTCTTGATCGATCGTGTATTCTCCCACCCGATACTTGTACAAAGCAATATATTGTTGCACCGTCGTGTAAGCTTCGTCGTAAACCTGTATCGGCAGCTTGAAAGGACGACTGTATAGAAGTTTCTCCTCGAGACTCGCTGGCAATATCCTGTAAACTTCATCAGGGGTCAATCGTTCCGACACCCATAGCTCCATCATTGGTTCCAACGATTCATCCGGATACAGAAAGGCGACAATCATCTGCATACTATCAGCATGGACCTGCATGCCAGTGGATTTTCGAAATTCGTGAAACAGTTTAGTAAGGTCTTGGAACTGCACACGTGGTTGCTCCCGCCCGTTTCTCAGCACAGGTTGCGTCAGATAGTCGACCACTGTACGATACTTCCCGCGCACATTCTGAGTTTCGAACAGGTCACACAGGATCTGCTGGAACTTTTTGGTGTCGGTTATCGTCCCCTCATGGATGAGCTTCTCCTCGGTCACGCGTGCGGCGAAATTGTCGATAAAAATCGGTGTACGTGAGCGTATGGTGCCCCAAAAGCCCTCCCACAGCTTGTCGATTGCATCATATACAGTGGACGGTAGAATTGCCCTCTCCTCCTTTCTCGGGTCCTCTAGGCTGGTATTGCCTATGGTGGAATTGTGTAGCTCCACACGCTCTGGCGAGACGAACGCGCTTTCGTTCAGACGAGCTGGGACAGTGGATGACACGAGAGCAGTAACGTCGACTTGATCTCCGTCGGTAGTCGTCTCGCCAGGAGTTTCCCACGCAAAGATGACGAAGGTCATGAGCACGTGGCACAACCGGCGCATGGCAGTACTCGATGGTTGCCAGGCACTTTGCACAATCAGAGACGCGAGCTGCGATTATTTCTGGTCGCGCAATGCCAGAATCGATACTGCTTTGGCTGGTGGCCGCTCTATACTGCTCAATTATTTCTGTAACGGGGCACCCTGAAGCTTGTACTGGTGACAGTACAAGCTACTTATTCTGATGACAGAATAAGGCGGTGCCTCGTAACTTCACGTACACTCGTACGTGCAGAGGAAGACGGTAAGAAGAAGCGAGTACTTGGTTAAAGTAAAAAGTAGAACTGTATTTTGTATAGTTAATGTCTGCAATAAATCACTATTTATCTTCATCTAACTATGTATAAATACAAATGTGTAAATCAGTTATCTGCTCACCACTCATTGCGTGCGTCTGTCGTGGCGCGTCTTCGTTGGTTGATATAATGGCCTATATCAACCAATTAGGAACTACTTGGAAGTGCTACCGAATATTGTCCTTATGACAATATTCTGAGAATATAACTCTTATAGTTATATTCTATTAACAATTTCTTATAAATTGTTATGTAACGATTCACCCCGTTACATCACCCCCCTTAACCATCAGTCACTTTAGTGACTGATTGACTAAATGGATACTCGTCCCAAATCATTTGGGACAGGGTTTGCACTTGTTGGTCCGCGTCCACTTTCCAACATTTCATCGCATGGTAAACAAGCCCATGCGATGCGCGAGCAAGGCCGCCGAGAGCGCGTCTGCACGTCTCTGTGCGGACGCCGAAGCAGAAACAACAGCAACTGATGTCTCATCGAGTGCTGAAGAGACCCAGCCTGTGTCACTTGGTGATGCAGGCGCTGGTCATGAAGACACTCGTGTCTTCACAGAGTACGAGCTCGGTGTCTCGTACTCTCCTGATACGGATGACGGATCCGTATCGACGGCGATTGAATCCAAGCCGCCTGCCAAGCGTGGCATGGACGATGCTTTGCGTCGCAGCATCTTTGGTTCATCTGATGAATCAGATGAACCATCGCCGAAGCGAAGGCGCTCGAGGTCGCGAGACTCGGGCGCTAATAGTGGTGTCGGTTCTCCAATGGACACCACTTCACAGCGAGGTGCCAGTACTTCTGTCGGCACGTCGCAGGAAGAGCGGGACCGCAATGTGTTGCGTCTCGCTCCAGAAAAGAAGGCATGGATGCCTCCAAAATCCGTCATGGATCACTTGTCGGCGACGACGAGTGATCGTTATCGAACACGATTGTTCGATTCGTCAAGGATCCATCACCTTGACCCCAGCGCGAAAGACTATCGCGCTGAACATGATGAGTTCTTCATCGATGCTTTCTTCAGACATCGATGGTACAGTGGGAATCACAAACGTGATGGTCCCTCACTACTTCAGGCGTGGAACGCCTACATCCATAACCTCGAGGATGTAGGTCGTGACGCTTGGAACGACAAACTTATCAAAGCTCGTGATAAGTTTGAAAAGCGAACCCCCACAGGTGCACGCTACAAGCTGCATCGTCTGTCAAGGGAGAAAGGATTACCCTGCCTCTCTTGGGGAGACTCGTGCCCATGTTGTGTGAACAACTCTGCACGAGCACCTAAAGAGGCTTACCTCCTTACCAGCCCGTGGTGGCGCGTACGTGTCTCTACTGAGATGTACGAAGGGATTGACAACCTGAAATCCCTTTACGACCGTGCCGGGAAGACTTTCTCCGGCGGTCCTTCTGCGGCACAGGATGTGTCGCGTCGTACTGCTCGACCAGACCCAGTACGTCAACCATCAATTGGGAGCGGGGCTCCCAAGAATCCCAGGACGGGGGATAGCCGCGCCACCGGACGAGGTAACTCGTCCGACGTCCGTTCACGTCGCGGTGGTTCAACAGCTGCTCTACTAGATAGCGCTGGCCACCGCGAGAGTCCTCTAATGGAGGTGGAGGAGGAGGAAAGACGCTCTCCACACGATCATGTGGATCGGTGTGTTCCCGAGAGCTTCTTTGATCGCGTAACGCAAGGGTTACGCGACGATCTCGAGCATGAGCGGAATAGGCGTCTCCAGATGGTGGACACTGCCTCGAAGCATCGAGCTGAGTTTGCCTTTGCTCAGCTTGAGAACGAGAGATCTCTGACATCTCTTCGTGACGAGCTAAGGGTAGCTCGTGGGATTGTTGATCGGTCTCGGGCTGAGATAGCTGCTCTTCAGACCCTTGTTGATGCCCACCATCGGGAGCACAAGGCTCTCTGCGAGATGCTTGAGCGCAAGGGCGTTCTTCATCGGAAGAAGCAGCGTACTGATGGTACGGCTTAAGCCGACCAACGTAAAACGTGGGATGCGTTCGCATCTTACGTGGTAACTCGATCGTGTATGCATTGCCTAGGCGGTGCAATACACGAAATGGGCCAATGTACTTGGGTAGTAGTTTACTGCTACCCAAGTTAGTCACTACATGCTTTGGTAGATTAACCGTAGACAGTAGGACTAAGTCACCTTTATTAAATAAAAGAGTGTTTGCCCTTCCATTCTTGTCAGCGTTTTGCTTTTGCTTATCCACCGCTTCGGCGATGGAGTCTTGCACAAAACGGACTACCGTTTCACGAGCCAGTATGAACTCATCTGATGACTCGTTAGCTTCAGTGTGCTGTGAGCGCACTGCAGCAACAACAACCTTTTCTTCAGTGAGGGCTTCCGCACTCTCACTGGGATCATTGTCTTCAGTGAGGGCTTCCGCACTCTCACTGGCATCATCTTCTTCGATATCGATGTTATCGATATCGGCATCAAACGCAATGACTTCTTCGTCAGAGCGTGATGAGCGTGAACCAAATCGGTTTTTGCTCGCGCGAGTCCCTCCCCCCTTAAACCAGAGTTACACTCTAGTAAGGTGGGTACACGCGGATGGCGCAAGCCATTCACGTAAAACGGTGTATGTGTCGTGGACGCATGCACCGAGTTGTTGATGGCAAACTCTACCATTGGCAAAAACTCACTCCAACTCTTAAAGGAGTGTACGTATCCTCGAAGTATCTCTTCAAGGACACGATTGGCACGTTCCGTCTGACCATCCGACTCTGGATGATCAGATGTTGACATCTTCAAGCGCGTTCCGAGTGATTTGAACACGGAACGCCAGAAATCAGCAGTGAATCGTGGATCTCTGTCTGATACGAGTTCACGGGGCAACCCATGAAGTCGGAAGATGGTGTCAATAAAGACACAAGCACAGCCACTTGCCGTGATTGTCTCTGGTACAGCCACAAGGTGTACCATTTTGCTGAATCTGTCAACAAATACGAGAATACCCGTATTCCCGCGTGCGTCTTTGGGTAACCCGAAGACGAAATCCATTGAGATGGATTCCCAGCACTCAGCCGGAACCGGTAGAGGCTGTAAAGGTGCACGCAGTGAAGGACTTGACTTCACTCGTTGGCAGACTTCGCATGCGCGAACATACTTTCGCACAAACTGATACTGGCGGGGCCAGTAAAAGTCTCGACTTACCGTGAGATATGTTTTCTCTCGGCCACGATGTCCTCCTATAGGAGCATCGTGATACTCGAACATGATCCGCAAACGCAGATCAGTATCATCTGGAATGACAACACGTGGTGTGTCACCAGAAACGGCTGTATAGTACAGTAAACCGTTACGAGTAGTGTATCGATCTGATGCAGATCGATACGCAGACGACAATCGTTTCAACGATTCTCGAGATGGTTGGGAGAGATGTGACAACAACTTCACTATCTCACCATCTTGGGCGTATGCCCGCCTCACATCATCATACAACATTGTAGATGGGACTGAGGACGTCATAACCGCAACAGTGACTGTCTCACTGTTGGGTTTCGCGACTGTTTCAAAGTCGGGACGACGTGAGAGTGCATCAGCGACGACATTAAGTCGTCCTGGTTTGTACTCGACCGTAAAGTTGTATTCTGCAAAGAATGACAACCACCGCGCCATTCGTTGTGAAAGGTGCGGGCTGTTCACTGCCGTGCGTAAGGACGCATGGTCAGTGTAAACAACGAAGGGTCTATCTCCCTAATAGATAGACTCTGAACTTCGCGAGTGCATACTTCATGGCAAGGAGTTCCTTGTCATGCACTGGATAGTTCCGCTCAGCTGGTTGCAGCTGACGCGACTGATAGCAGACGACGCGTTCAACGCCTTCAAGGTCGTACTGCATTAATGCACAGCCGATTGCGAAATCGCTGGCATCACAGACCACATGAAATGGTCTGTCCTGATCGGCTATTGCTAGGACTGGGGATTGTATCAAGCTCTGCTTGATACCCTCAAAGGAGCGTTGACATTCAGCGTTCCATAACCACCTCTCGTTCTTTTTCAACAAACGAGAGAGGTGTACAGTCATCTCGGCGTAATTGCGTGAATACTTATGCAAATACGCCGCTAGCCCAAGGAATTTTCGAAGACCTTTGACATCGACCGGCACAGGCCAGTCGGTGATCGCCTTGATCTTTTCGGGATCAGGACGTACACCGTTCTTACCAACGATGCACCCAAGAAGTGGTATTTCGCTTGCTGCAAATATACACTTCTTGAGGTTAGCATACAATTGATGCTTTCGCATGATTGTAAGAACTTGTCGGACGTGGTACCTGTGAACCTCAACGTCCGACTTTCCATCCATAGCTCGACTATGGATGAATACGTCATCGAAATAACTCGGCGCGAATTCTCGTACTGGTCTCAACAGATGTGATACACATCTGTTGAACGTGGCAGGGGCATTACTGAGCCCTTGTGGCATTACTAGCCATTCCCAGAGCATGCCGCTAGGCGTGCTAACTGCGGTATAGGGTATATCCCGTTCCCGCATTAGGATTTGATAGAAGCCATCCATCAAATCCATGGACGAAAAGATGGTACTCTTTGACATACCATCAATGATTACGTCCTTCCTCGGTATCGGCGTCTGAGCCGGTACCGTTGCAGCGTTCAATTTGTTAAACGCGTGCACTATCCGCCACCCTCCTGTTGCTTTTCGCACACAGAAGGTCGGAGAGCTATGTGGGGAAGTTGATTCCCTCACATGGCCCGCTGCTAAACGATCGGCAAAGAACTTGTCGATCGCAAGTACTTGTTCACGAGGCAGTGGCCACTGCTTCATGACACAGTACTTCGAGCCTGGTTTAAGCTCGACTTCGTGTCGAATACCTTTATCCTTCGGTAATTCGCACGGAACAGTTTCAGGGAATACATCCTTGAATTCAACCAAATCTTCATAGAGAGGATTTTCCTTGAGCGATTCCCATGATTGGGACTCATATCGCTCAATTCGTGTCTTTTCATCTAGGACACTCTCGTCCATAGATGAACTACTGAGAACTCTCTCGTTCTCAGTAAACACTGTTGCTGACCTTATGTCGGTTACATACTCGTCGTCAGCGACGAGTATGCAGATCTGCTTGACTTTGCCACTACGCAGATCACGCAAGAACCTTTTATGTTCGAGCGTTGGCAACTGAGTGATCTCCGAAGTTAACTTCGGAGGCGCAATCAGATCAAGTGTATAAGCGCCTACACATGATCCGTTATTGACTATGACATTCAATGTCTCTGTCATTTCCTGGGGACTTATTCCCTCAGGCTTCGAAGGACTTATTCCTTCGTCTTCCCGGGGACTTATTCCCGCGGGTTTCGGGGAACTTATTTCCGCCGTATTTGTAATCTTGGGACTTATTCCCTTTACTTCCTCTAGCTGGGGTTGCGCAACCACAGCGAGATCCTCTCTACGAAAGACTCTCCAGTCGATCTAGGATTATCGTTTCGCTTAACCTGAGCGATCGATTGTTTCTCTTCTAGATGTTCCCCGCTAGGAATACATCTTTGTCCCAGTCCACCCGACTTATTCGAGTGGTGGACCTTCGGCGCAGCCTGTGTTTCCTCACAGCCGCCGGAACTTTGCTCCGAAGTGTAACCGTTTGGTACACTAAGGTTTTGTGCAGTCGTACTAACGACCGTACCACAAGTGAGGCCATCGCACTCACTCGTAGTACATCCACACGCTTGTGGACGCTCCAAAACGTTCATCAGATGGCCATCTGATGAACAAGCGGCAGGCATCGTTACTGTCCGATGTTGCCAGTTTACCCGTGGTTCGTACCTTCTGAGCCACGGTATTCCAAGGATGACATCAAATTTGTCATCCAAATCCAATACGATAAAGTCATCGTCGTATTGGGTATCTTCTAGCGTATAGTGAATCTTCACTATACGCTTCATGACGGTTACGGATGCGCCTGTCGCAAGACGTACCGTCATCCTCGTAGGAGGTGTGTCACATTCACTGAATTTAAAGTGACCATCTTCTAGCGATTGGCGTCGCACAAAATTGTTGGACGCCCCACAATCGACTAGAGCTCGAAGGGACAACTTATTCGTCACTTCGAGTTTCAAGGTAATGAGTGAGATCTCATTACCTAGAGCAGCAACGCACAATGTCTGTGTGTTGGGAGCAACCTTCATCAAGAGGCCTACAAATTCTCTTGACGTTGCTGGATCAGTAGGGTGCTCCGCACCTACTGATCCTGTCCGTTTTTTGACGGTCCATCCCGTTGTTGCGTCTTTGCACCAACTGCGGACCCTCGTCCCTGCCCCTTTCTCATGGGTGGACGGTCACTACGCCCAGTGTCGCGAGACACTGGACGAGGGGCACTACACTCGTAAGCGTAGTGTCCTGTCTTTTGACATCTGTTGCATCTCTGCAACTTCTTGTAGCCTGTAGAGCGAGCCTTCTCGCTCTCTACATAACAGAGTTCCATCGGCTCTGGACCTCCGTTGTCATATCGTCTCGGTTGACGATATGATGTCGAGCTGGCGCGAGCCTGTCTCAGACTGAAGTCTTCCTGCTCCGCAATGGAAATGGCTTGTTCTAGTGAATCTAGTTCAAGCCGGAACAGGTGAGTCTTGACGGGACCATCCGCAAGACCCTGCATGAACACCGAAACCAACGTGTGTTCATCCACCGGATTGGAACTTATACAACTCGTGAGATGTCGTATATGTTGAGCGTAAGCGTGCACATCACGCTTACCCTGCTTGAGCTTCAAGAGTTCGGTTCGAGCTCTGAACTCAGCTCTAGGCGGTTCAAACGTTTGTCTGAGCCGCGACTTGAAGACTTCCAACGACCCAAACGCGTATGGGTCGTGCAGCTTGAGCCTCAGTGCCCAAGTCTTGGCACGTCCTGCCAGATTTGACTGGGCAAATGCAACTTGCATATCCCCGTCGTCGATGCGACGCGCCCTTATGGCGTCATCCAATTCGACGAACCATCTCAAGAGGGAGTCTTCTTCGACCCCCCTATACTTTGAGATGTCAATCTTCAAAGTCTCGGGCCGACGCGAGTGCATCGACCCGCCAGCAGCAGCCTGCTGCTGTCTCAACAGTTCAAACTGTTGAGCACCTTGTTCTCTCAACAACTCTGCTTGTTGAGAACCTTGTTGGTGAAGCAAGGCTACTTTCTCGCGTTCTGCGTCAAGTTCATTTTGAATGAACTTGGCGATAGCAGCATGTTGGGCATCTCTATTGAGAGCCTCTAGCATGACGCTAATTGCATGGATGCCCATGGTCGAACCCATTCGTTCAACCGCATCCCATTCGACATCGCTCAAATGGGAGTAGCCGTCACGCGTAGCGTGAAAGCTTTGGTCATCTTCATCATCCAACATATTCATGTTGGATGTGAACGCGGTCCTTGGACGGACTACGAAGTGCTACCAGGTGTAACGGGGCACCCTGAAGCTTGTACTGGTGACAGTACAAGCTACTTATTCTGATAACAGAATAAGGCGGTGCCTCGTAACTTCACGTACACTCGTACGTGCAGAGGAAGACGGTAAGAAGAAGCGAGTACTTGGTTAAAGTAAAAAGTAGAACTGTATTTATAATAGTTAATGTCTGCAATAAATCACTATTTATCTTCATCTAACTATGTCTAAATACAAATGTGTAAATCAGTTATCTGCTCACCACTCATTGCGTGCGTCTGTCGTGGCGCGTCTTCGTTGGTTGATATAATGGCCTATATCAACCAATTAGGAACTACTTGGAAGTGCTACCGAATATTGTCCTTATGACAATATTCTGAGAATATAACTCTTATAGTTATATTCTATTAACAATTTCTTATAAATTGTTATGTAACGATTCACCCCGTTACAGCTGGAACTTTTTGGTGTCGGTTATCGTCCCCTCATGGATGAGCTTCTCCTCGGTCACGCGTGCGGCGAAATTGTCGATAAAAATCGGTGTACGTGAGCGTATGGTGCCCCAAAAGCCCTCCCACAGCTTGTCGATTGCATCATATACAGTGGACGGTAGAATTGCCCTCTCCTCCTTTCTCGGGTCCTCTAGGCTGGTATTGCCTATGGTGGAATTGTGTAGCTCCACACGCTCTGGCGAGACGAACGCGCTTTCGTTCAGACGAGCTGGGACAGTGGATGACACGAGAGCAGTAACGTCGACTTGATCTCCGTCGGTAGTCGTCTCGCCAGGAGTTTCCCACGCAAAGATGACGAAGGTCATGAGCACGTGGCACAACCGGCGCATGGCAGTACTCGATGGTTGCCAGGCACTTTGCACAATCAGAGACGCGAGCTGCGATTATTTCTGGTCGCGCAATGCCAGAATCGATACTGCTTTGGCTGGTGGCCGCTCTATACTGCTCAATTATTTCTGTAACGGGGCACCCTGAAGCTTGTACTGGTGACAGTACAAGCTACTTATTCTGATGACAGAATAAGGCGGTGCCTCGTAACTTCACGTACACTCGTACGTGCAGAGGAAGACGGTAAGAAGAAGCGAGTACTTGGTTAAAGTAAAAAGTAGAACTGTATTTTGTATAGTTAATGTCTGCAATAAATCACTATTTATCTTCATCTAACTATGTCCAAATACAAATGTGTAAATCAGTTATCTGCTCACCACTCATTGCGTGCGTCTGTCGTGGCGCGTCTTCGTCGGTTGATATAATGGCCTATATCAACCAATTAGGAACTACTTGGAAGTGCTACCGAATATTGTCCTTATGACAATATTCTGAGAATATAACTCTTATAGTTATATTCTATTAACAATTTCTTATAAATTGTTATGTAACGATTCACCCCGTTACATCACCCCTGTAACGGGGCACCCTGAAGCTTGTACTGGTGACAGTACAAGCTACTTATTCTGATAACAGAATAAGGCGGTGCCTCGTAACCTCACGTACACTCGTACGTGCAGAGGAAGACGGTAAGAAGAAGCGAGTACTTGGTTAGAGTAAAAAGTAGAACTGTATTTATAATAGTTAATGTCTGCAATAAATCACTATTTATCTTCATCTAACTATGTATAAATACAAATGTGTAAATCAGTTATCTGCTCACCACTCATTGCGTGCGTCTGTCGTGGCGCGTCTTCGTTGGTTGATATAATGGCCTATATCAACCAATTAGGAACTACTTGGAAGTGCTACAGAATATTGTCCTTATGACAATATTCTGAGAATATAACTCTTATAGTTATATTCTATTAACAATTTCTTATAAATTGTTATGTAACGATTCACCCCGTTACATCACCCCCCCCTTAACCATCAGTCACTTTAGTGACTGATTGACTAAATGGATACTCGTCCCAAATCATTTGGGACGGGGTTTGCACTTGTTGGTCCGCGTCCACTTTCCAACATCTCATCGCATGGTAAACAAGCCCATGCGATGCGCGAGCAAGGCCGCCGAGAGCGCGTCTGCACGTCTCTGTGCGGACGCCGAAGCAGAAACAACAGCAACTGATGTCCCATCGGTTGCTGAATCGACTCAGCCTGTATCACCTGGTGATGCAGGCGCTGGTCATGAAGACACTCGTGTCTTCACAGAGTACGAGCTCGGTGTCTCGTACTCTCCTGATACGGATGACGGATCCGTATCGACGGCGATTGAATCTAAGCCGCCTGCCAAGCGTGGCATGGACGATGCTTTGCGTCGCAGCATCTTTGGTTCATCTGATGAGTCAGATGAACCATCGCCGAAGCGAAGGCGCTCGAGGTCGCGAGACTCGGGCGCTAATAGTGGTGTCGTTTCTCCAATGGACACCACTTCACAGCGAGGTGCCAGTACTTCTGTCGGCACGTCGCAGGAAGAGCGGGACCGCAATGTGTTGCGTCTCGATCCAGAAAAGAAGGCATGGATGCCTCCTAAATCTGTCATGGATCACTTGTCGGCGACGACGAGTGATCGTTATCGAACACGATTGTTCGATTCGTCGAGGATTCATCACCTTGACCCCAGCGCGAAAGACTATCGCGCTGAGAATGAGTTCTTCATCGATGCTTTCTTCAGACATCGATGGTACAGTGGGAATCACAAACGTGATGGTCCCTCACTACTTCAGGCGTGGAACGCCTACATCCATAATCTCGAGGATGTAGGTCGTGACGCTTGGAACGACAAACTTATCAAAGCTCGTGATAAGTTTGAAAAGCGAACCCCGACAGGTGCACGCTATAAGCTGCATCGTCTGTCAAGGGAGAAAGGATTACCCTGCCTCTCTTGGGGAGACTCGTGCCCATGTTGTGTGAACAACTCTGCACGAGCACCTAAAGAGGCTTACCTCCTTACCAGCCCGTGGTGGCGCGTACGTGTCTCTACTGAGATGTACGAAGGGATTGACAACCTGAAATCCCTTTACGACCGTGCCGGGAAGACTTTCTCCGGCGGTCCTTCTGCGGCACAGGATGTGCCGCGTCGTACTGCTCAACCAGACCCAGTACGTCGATCATCAATTGGGAGCGGGGCTCCCAAGAATCCCAGGACGGGGGATAGCCGCGCCACCGGACGAGGTAACTCGTCCGACGTCCGTTCACGTCGCGGTGGTTCAACAGCTGCTCTACTAGATAGCGCTGGCCACCGCGAGAGTCCTCTAATGGAGGTGGAGGAGGAGGAAAGACGCTCTCCACACGATCATGTGGATCGGTGTGTTCCCGAGAGCTTCTTTGATCGCGTAACGCAAGGGTTACGCGACGATCTCGAGCATGAGCGGAATAGGCGTCTCCAGATGGTGGACACTGCCTCGAAGCATCGAGCTGAGTTTGCCTTTGCTCAGCTTGAGAACGAGAGATCTCTGACATCTCTTCGTGACGAGCTAAGGGTAGCTCGTGGGATTGTTGATCGGTCTCGGGCTGAGATAACTGCTCTTCAGACCCTTGTTGATGCCCACCATCGGGAGCACAAGGCTCTCTGCGAGATGTTTGAGCGCAAGGGCGTTCTTCATCGGAAGAAGCAGCGTACTGATGGTACGGCTTAAGCCGACCAACGTAAAACGTGGGATGCGTTCGCATCTTACGTGGTAACTCGATCGTGTATGCATTGCCTAGGCGGTGCAATACACGAAATGGGCCAATGTACTTGGGTAGTAGTTTACTGCTACCCAAGTTAGTCACTACATGTTTTGGTAGATTAACCGTAGACAGTAGGACTAAGTCACCTTTATTAAATAAAAGAGTGTTTGCCCTTCCATTCTTGTCAGCGTTTTGCTTTTGCTTATCCACCGCTTCGGCGATGGAGTCTTGCACAAAACGGACTACCGTTTCACGAGCCAGTATGAACTCATCTGATGACTCGTTAGCTTCAGTGTGCTGTGAGCGCACTGCAGCGACAACAACCTTTTCTTCAGTGAGGGCTTCCGCACTCTCACTGGGATCATTGTCTTCAGTGAGGGCTTCCGCACTCTCACTGGCATCATCTTCTTCGATATCGATGTTATCGATATCGGCATCAAACGCAATGACTTCTTTGTCAGAGCGTGATGAGCGTGAACCAAATCGGTTTTTGCTCGCGCGAGTCCCTCCCCCCCTTAAACCAGAGTTACACTCTAGTAAGGTGGGTACACGCGGATGGCGCAAGCCATTCACGTAAAACGGTGTATGTGTCGTGGACGCATGCACCGAGTTGTTGATGGCAAACTCTACCATCGGCAAGAACTCACTCCAACTCTTAAAGGAGTGTACGTATCCTCGAAGTATCTCTTCAAGGACACGATTGGCACGTTCCGTCTGACCATCTGACTCTGGATGATCAGATGTTGACATCTTCAAGCGCGTTCCGAGTGATTTGAACACGGAACGCCAGAAATCAGCAGTGAATCGTGGATCTCTGTCTGATACGAGTTCACGGGGCAACCCATGAAGTCGGAAGATGGTGTCAATAAAGACACAAGCACAGCCACTTGCCGTGATTGTCTCTGGTACAGCCACAAGGTGTACCATTTTGCTGAATCTGTCAACAAATACGAGAATACCCGTATTCCCGCGTGCGTCTTTGGGTAACCCGAAGACGAAATCCATTGAGATGGATTCCCAGCACTCAGCCGGAACCGGTAGAGGCTGTAAAGGTGCACGCAGTGAAGGACTTGACTTCACTCGTTGGCAGACTTCGCATGCGCGAACATACTTTCGCACAAACTGATACTGGCGGGGCCAGTAAAAGTCTCGACTTACCGTGAGATATGTTTTCTCTCGGCCACGATGTCCTCCTATAGGAGCATCGTGATACTCGAACATGATCCGCAAACGCAGATCAGTATCATCTGGAATGACAACACGTGGTGTGTCACCAGAAACGGCTGTATAGTACAGTAAACCGTTACGAGTAGTGTATCGATCTGATGCAGATCGATACGCAGACGACAATCGTTTCAACGATTCTCGAGATGGTTGGGAGAGATGTGACAACAACTTCACTATCTCACCATCTTGGGCGTATGCCCGCCTCACATCATCATACAACGTTGTAGATGGAACTGAGGACGTCATAACCGCAACAGTGACTGTCTCACTGTTGGGTTTCGCGACTGTTTCAAAGTCGGGACGACGTGAGAGCGCATCAGCGACGACATTAAGTCGTCCTGGTTTGTACTCGACCGTAAAGTTGTATTCTGCAAAGAATGACAACCACCGCGCCATTCGTTGTGAAAGGTGCGGGCTGTTCACTGCCGTGCGTAAGGACGCATGGTCAGTGTAAACAACGAAGGGTCTATCTCCTAATAGATAGACTCTGAACTTCGCGAGTGCATACTTCATGGCAAGGAGTTCCTTGTCATGCACTGGATAGTTCCGCTCAGCTGGTTGCAGCTGACGCGACTGATAGCAGACGACGCGTTCAACGCCTTCAAGATCGTACTGCATTAATGCACAGCCGATTGCGAAATCGCTGGCATCACAGACCACATGAAATGGCCTGTCCTGATCGGCTATTGCTAGGACTGGGGATTGTATCAAGCTCTGCTTGATACCCTCAAAGGAGCGTTGACATTCAGCGTTCCATAACCACCTCTCGTTCTTTTTCAACAAACGAGAGAGGTGTACAGTCATCTCGGCGTAATTGCGTGAATACTTATGCAAATACGCCGCTAGCCCAAGGAATTTTCGAAGACCTTTGACATCAACCGGCACAGGCCATTCGGTGATCGCCTTGATCTTCTCGGGATCAGGACGTACACCGTTCTTACCAACGATGCACCCAAGAAGTGGTATTACGCTTGCGGCAAATATACACTTCTTGAGGTTT